GACACGTGGGAGAGATTACTCAAATATTCCTCTTCCTTTGTACCTTTATCCCTCTCGCTGCGGCACGGTCATCTCTCCTCAAGCAACAAAAAGATGAAGCTCGTTTCTTTTTTCTTTTCTTTTTTTTTTGCAGGCTTCTGCACAGCACGACAAATCTATAATAACCTATTTACACCAAGGTTTCACTGCCGCTGAAGGCTTTGACCTTGTCTTATGTTCTCCTTAATGCATAGCCAGTTTTTATAACATATACAGTTTTGTCTAATTCCAACCAAGTTCCAAATTCATGCATTTGTCCAAAGTGCTTTTCTGTCTACAACAGGTCCGCAGCTGATAGTTAATGCAATCCGGATCAGATCATCCTCCCAGGAGCCAATTAACTGCACTGATATTACATAATGACAGCCCACACTTTATAACGACATGCCGGACCTTGCAGAATGGACAAGGCTGGTAATAAAGAGGAGGATGAGTGACAGAGCAGAGGAAATGAAACACCTTGAAACTCTCAGGATGCTCCGAGCAAAGAATAATTCACAGCATCTTCTTACCTTTGCTGTTGTCCTCTTCTCTGTTGAGATACATGGCTGTGTGTTTCTTCTCTCTCCGATCTGAGGCGGATAACAATGGCGTTTGTCTCACTTCTTATTTGATAGTGTACTCCTCCGTGAGTCGTGAACTCCGCTGATGTGGTTTGTAGTAGTAGCTGCTTATTGTTTTGTTGCCACTCAGCTGCCTCTCCTCTCCTCCTAGTGGATGGGTAGGCTAACCAGTTTGAGACTCACACGCTACTCCCTCCCTCCCTCCCTCTCATCCTCCTCCTCCCCCTCTCTCCCAGCCTCCTCTCCCTCTCCTCCTCCTCCTCCTCCTCCCCCTCTCTCCCAGCCTCCTCTCCCTCTCCAGCATCAACTGAAATGTAGCTCAGAGGACAAAATGGGACTTCTGCAGCAGAGCAAGTCTTCATTTATTGTTCAATCAATTTGTGCATCAGTCGATCAGGTTCAAATCTATAATTGGAAGTGCAGACTCAGTAATTTGATGGGATTCAGACTTGGTTTATTTTCACTGGCTGATCTTTGTTGTTGTTGTTTGTCATCTCACTTGTGATTCATATCAGCAAACAAATTTCTATATCATAGAAAAGCAATTTCAACTGTTTTATCATTGATATTTTCAGTGCCTTCCAGAATGAGCCGTTTCAGGGCTCTGTTACATTAATAAAACTAGCTGAAGCTGGCCACACCCACCCATCCCCCGCTCAGGCTGCATTAAGCTGAGAAGCTCCAATACCCAGAAGCCTTTGCTCCTCCAGCAGCAGCTCGCTCTTATATGTGAGATTGATCTGCTAATTGTCCTGTTTGTGATGTCAGAATTGGGGACTTTTTGAAACAGCTTGTTTTAGGCACACAATTAGTAAAAACAAACACTGACAGAACACAGATAGATGATTTAGTTTTCAGTTTGGAGTGTTTATAAATGAAGTAGAGAAAAACTTCAGAAAGTTGGGACTCTGTTGGGAGAAATTGAGCTGACATTCCTGGTGCCGCAGTCTGCTTCCAGCATGTTTCGCTGCAATACTTTTATTTTGAAAATTACTGGTGACTTTTCACTGAAGCAGTGTGTTATTTCCTATCTAGCTCTATGGTAACTGTGGTAATTGACACATCCCAGAAGCAGCTATTGGAAAAATTAGAACCCGTTCCCATCTTTAATGCCGCGGCGTGCCGTTTCTGGGCCGCTTCTGAAAATTGCCGCGTTGCGGCTAGTTTGTTACACTCCATAGATTATGATGGACTCTATTTGAAGCGGTGCCGTTTCGCTGCCATTACGCGCCGCTTTTGCTTCCAGTGTGCAGTAGCTTACAGCTGTGCTTTGTCACAAAGTAGTCCCAAGTCTAAAATGGCGCCTGTGATTCGTTCATGTTACCAATTATTTTCACTTGCAGTCAGTCTGATTGTTTAGATCACCAAGCAGAATTAGGATCACTACTGAGTGATTTTAAACTTGTTTTTACTCACAATGCTAGTTGGATCCATTCACTTACTGTGTTTTATGCTAAAGCTAAAGGAGCTGGGTCAGGAGAATGACTGGCCTGGTTAAAAATAGTTTTTCCCCACTAATCTAATTCTGGGAAATATGTCGACAGACAAATGTTCATTTTTAGGTGAAATATCACTTTAAACCCACATTTTAAATATTGTGTGAGAACATTTTCCTGTCAAAGAAAAGGCTTCTTTTTTCCAGATCAAAATTTCAACCCAACAATGCTAAAATAAAAACCCTAAAGTGCAGTGCCTTTATGTACGAGATGCTTTTGTGCTTTTATTTTTCTTTTTTCTTGATGTTGTTCTTGTCTCTCAAAAGAAATTCTTCTTTTTCAGTGCAAATAAAAAGGAGTAAAACAGAAATATTGATCAGTTATCATGAAAGACAAACCTAGTGACAAATTATGCAAGAACCATTCATTTCTGCTCATGATTATAACCAAATGAGCATTTTAATTCTTAGAAGCTAAAAAAATAGAATAAATCACGTTTATTATGGGTTTCCTTTTTTTTAAATGATCACTTTTCATCGTGTGGTGCAAATGAGACAGAATGTTGTGCTCTAAAGAAATGTTATGGTACAAAATAAATAAAAAAGGAGTTAAATGAGTGGAAGGAGCTAGCTGAAGCATAACTATAAAAACAATTTTAATTGCTTTTTTTCACACGTTGGTAGGAAACGGTCATTGCAGCAGCAGCACATTGTAGTCTCAGCGACACATCGAACTGGTTAAGTTGGTAAAAAACTGTGAAAATGTTGCTCCACTGCAGAAAAGGTTCTAATTCATCTCCTCCACATCTGCAGTCAAGACAGTTTCATGTGCAGGTTTACTGACCACACCAGAGCACAGGTCGGAGTACATCAACCAGAGACTCGTCTGATGCAAGCTGTCTAAATGAACTGCAGGAATGAGATGTAGATTATTTTAGCACTCAGTATTCAAGCTGCCATACATCTAGCAGCCCTGTAAGTGAAGGAGGACAAATCTGCCCCTGACCTTGACACAGTCCAAGAATAAACCAGTTAGAAAGCAATTTAAAAGAATTCCCTTAATTATTTTTCTTCCTCGTGTTCTCTGAGTAAATTGCCAATTTGTAACTGAACTTTCTTTTCCTCTGCAAGAAGCTGGAAGGAGGAGAAAGAGAGAAATGGGATGAACCATGACAGTTATTAAAACTACAGCAGAATGTCTGCAGCAGGACCACTGGTCCTTGCTCAGACAGATGCGGTGTAATAAACTCAACCAATTTCCTCTTAGCCGGCATCTCCAAAACAAACTGCTATAATGTGATTTTATTCATAAAGTATACATCTAATGTTTCAGTCAGTCTTGTGCCTCGCTGATTTTATAGATTAAAAATTAAACAGGATATGAGTAAAGCAGCAAATGTTTTGAACATTGTTGCAGCACTAACAGATTGCCTGCTTTTGTCAACAAAGCCTAGGAAAGTCATTTATCCGGAGCGTTTCTGTGGTGATTTTTATTTGATCACATTTTGTTTTGTGCCGAGCTCCGTGCTATTTCCACTCGACTGAGCATCTTTGGCCGTTTGTTGGGAGAATTCTCTGCAGACTAATTTGACCACAGCCTATTCCCAGATATTCCCCACCCCTCGCTCCCAGCAACATTGTGCCTGTCGCTGATGCATCCGTCTCCGCTGGTTTCTATAAATACCACCTTCTCTTCCCCATCAAAAACCTGATTCCCATTGATTTAGTGACCTATATACTCATCACCACCATTCCCTCCCTTTTCCTCCTCCTGCTGATGGTCCTCTGCTGTCTCCACCTCTTCTCGCTTCCTGCCTTTTCCCTCCATCATTCAGCTCTACTTAACCACCTCTTCCCTCCACCTTCTTCCCCTCCTCTTTCATGCTGGAGAGCAAAAAAAAGGCTAATAATAGTTCACAATGGAAGCTTAAGTCCTAACATGGGGAAAAAAAAGAGGATTTGAGTATGAAACAGGAACAGTGGCTGCTGTATTTCAAAGTCGTGTAGTGGAAAGTCGAGCCTCCATCTGAACCCTGGTGTGAGTAAACACTGGAGTAGATGGAAGCTGATGAAAGGAGTCTCTCAAAGAGGTGCAAAAAAATCCAATACGAAACTCGACTCTGGTAGAAATGAGAGAACGAGACATTCAGAGAGAAGAGTGAGTGTGAGTGTGTGTGTGTGTGTGTGTGTGTAGGGTTACATGAAGGTACTATGATGCAATTATGCTGCAGGGACCTGCTCAAAAAAAGCATCGTGGAAACGTGCGCCACAACTCTAATGATGAATTTATTAAGCTGAACAGGATTTTAAAAAGTGAATGAGAAAGAAAAAACGTGAAGTCATGCAAGTCAAAAAGTCTGCCGAGATACACTCTCAAAAAATGCATCATGCACGTTTAGACAGGCTTAATTTATCAAGTGAAAACAGATGCTTCTGCTAACTAGAAACCATCTGCAGATTAAATTTCATCACAGCTGCATGAAAATTTGCAGTCCTGAAGAAAGAAAATTTAGCTAAGAGAACAGGGTTGGAGAATATGATGTACTGCTCCATCACCTGAAACTATCCAACACCTGTATTACCAGTTACTGCTGACTCTCATCCCACTCCCACGCCACAGGGGGCTGTGGCTGTACTGCAGCTCCACAGCGACACCTAGTGGCTCTGAACTGAACCAAACCATCACAGCAGACCGATGGTCCTGTTGCCCCCGAGGACACACACACACACACACACACACACACACACACACACACACACACACACACACACACAGTCGTCCTTGGTCTCTTCAAAACTCTGCCCTACTATTACAGACAAACACACATTGTCAGTTCTTCTTGTATCCTGTCAGATAACTACTGGACCTTGAAAGCAGAAACAACAATGAGAGGGACGGAACAAAAATAAATAAATAAACTTAAAAAATAGAGTGTAACCTTGAAAACAGACAACTACATCAGTCAATTTGAGGACAGTCAGTTTATTGAACAGTAAGTTGTGACAAGAAACAATTGTTTTCTTTTCCCATTGCATTGCAAACAACTGTGCCATTCACCACATAAACGCTCTCTGTCACAGAGGCTTTGCAGATTGACAGCGTGACAAGGGAGTATATACACTCAACAAAAATATAAACGCAACACCTTTGTTTCTGCTCCGATTTTTCATGAGATGGACTTAAAGATCTAAAATTCATTTCAGATACACAATATCACCATTTCTCTCAAACATTGTTTACAAATCAGTCTAAATGTGTGATAGTGAGCATTTCTGCTTTGCTGAGATAATCCATCCCACCTCACAGGTGTGCCACATCAAGATGCTGATCTGACATCATAAGTAGTGCATAGGTGTACCTTATACTGCCCACAATAAAAGGTCACCCTGGAAAGTGCAGTTTTTTGCTTTATTGGGGGTCTGGGGACTCAGAACCGGTCAGTATCTGTGTGACCACCATTTGCCTCATGCAGTGCAACACATCTTCTTCGCATAGAGTTTATCAGATTGTCAATTGTGGCATGTGGAATGTTGGTCCACTCCTCTTCAATGGCTGTGCGAAGTTGTTGGATATTAGTGGGAACTGGTACACGCTGTCGTATACGCCGGTCAAGCACATCCTAAACATGCTCAACGGGTGACATGTCCGGTGAGTATGCTGACCATGCAAGAACTGGGATATTTTCAGCTTCCAAGAATTGTGTACAGATCCTTGCAACATGGGGCCGTGCATTATCTTGCTGAAACATGAGGTGATGTTCATCTATGTACGGCACAACAATGGGCTTCAGGATCTCATCACGGTATCTCTGTGCATTCAACAAGCCATCAATAAAATGCACCTGTGTTCTTTGTCCATAACAGATGCCTGCCCATATCATAACCCCACCACCACCATGGGCCACTCGATCCACAACACTGACATCAGCAAAGCGCTCACCCACACGACGCCACATACGCTGTCTGCCATCTGCCCTGAACAATGTAAACCGAAATTCATCCATGAAGAGAACACCTCTCCAACGTGCCAGACGCCATTGAATTAGAGCATTTGCCCACTCAAGTCTGTTACGGTGACGAGCTGGAGTCAGGTCAAGACCCTGATGAGGACGACGAGCATGCAGTTGAGCTTCCCTGAGACGGTTTCTGACAGTTTGTGCAGAAATTGTTTGGCTATGCAAACCAATTGTTTCAGCAGCTGTCTGAGTGGCTGGTCTCAGACGATCTTGAAAGAGAACCTGCTGGATGTGGAGGTCCTGGGCTGGTGTGGTTACACGTCATCTGCGGTTGTGAGGCCGGTTGGATGTACTGCCATATTCTCTGAAACACCTTTGGAGACGGCTTATGGTGGAGAAATGAACATTCAATGTACGAGCAACAGATCTGGTTGACATTCCTGCTGTCAGCATGCCAATTGCACGCTCCCTCAGTGCTTGTGGCATCTGTGGCATTTTGCTGTGAGACAAAACTGCACATTCCAGGGTGGCCTTTTATTGTGGGCAGTATAAGGTACACCTGTGCACTACTCATGATGTCGGATCAGCATCTTGATGTGGCACACCTGTGAGGTGGGATGGATTATCTCAGCAAAGCAGAAATGCTCACTATCACACATTTAGACTGATTTGTGAACAATGTTTGAGAGAAATGGTGATATTGTGTATCTGGAATGAATTTTAGATCTTTAAGTCCATCTCATGAAAAACCGGAGCAGAAACAATGGTGTTGTGTTTATATTTTTGTTGAGTGTATATCATTTGTTTAAAGTGCTTTTCACTGCACGATTCCTCTTGGAGGAAGAGAATGGGGGGCTGTGAGGTGAGCTCAGGGCCCCAAAAAGACCTCTAAGCTTCCTGGCTGCACTAGTCATACACTGTGTGATGTTACGTGTCTCATCTTTACTTTGTGTGCATCTGTGTGTGGCTTCTACTTATTGCATAACAGTAAGCTGGTTTGTGAATTTTTATTTTAAATTTCAGTGAACATTTAAAGCACAAATCATTAGATGAATATGTAATAAACTCTTCACAATAATTCTAATACATCTCATAATATCTAAGTTACATTCTTATATCTGATGCATATAGGCAACTTACATTTTTGTGGCTATACTGCTGAGGGTTAACATAGTGGACACCATTGTGTGGGTGTGTCTCAGCCCTCTGGTTTCACAGATAAATATGATCAAAAAGGGTCACTCAGAAATAAATCTTAGAACACCGAGCTCCCTACAGTATTCAGATATTATTAAGAGTGTTGTCTTAACAATAATAATAATAGTCCTTTGTGCTTTCTTTGAGTGTACACTCTAAGTCATCCTTTTGGTGTTTAAAATAAACCTCCTCGGCAATGATCCGCACTCTGATGGATGCCAGGTCGAGTACCAACACAGAGGGAGTAAAGAGGAAAAATATCTGAGTGTAACTCTAACAACAACTACACATCAACTACGGCACCACACGGTCAGACACACACACACACACACACACACACAAACACACGCACAAACAAAACCAAATGCACAAAGTCACAGCTGAATTAAAACCAAACACTTTCAGGATTCAACTATAAAAACTGATCTGAAGACAGTGTAGAAGGGATGAGGGTTAAAAAATAAAATCCTAATAATCTCAATAACACAAAAAGTAGGCGTGGATCAGGTTGGAATGTAAATCAAAAATAATACAAGAAGCTCACATGAGTGGGAGAGTCGTTTTGCTGTTGTCTTTAGCCGTTATCATCGGACGGTGTTGGTCCCTCCCTGACTATGGCTTTCAGGTACAGTAAGACAACACGAAGATTATCTCACATTCAGGCAGTGAAGCCTCGGTTCTTAGTGCAGTCGCTGTCGTTCTGCGGCTACGTCGTGGAAAAGAAGCACCATTCAGACAGAAGCATTAACACAAACTCTACCGAGCATCTCAGTTCAGTCCGTTTCTACGAGCGTAGCTAAATGTTCGCTGTGAACGATCAGCAATAAGATTTATCGTTTGGTCCTATAATTAAACAGAAGAAAACTGCAGGTTTTACCGATAACACGAGAGATGGCACCTCCAGCAGAACCATCAAAGATCTACACTAGTGTTCCCCTTGGCGTTCAGTAAACAAAAACATCTGCTGCATTTATATTCATAGTTTCATTTCTGTTCCTTCTTTTTTTTCTCTCCACATCATAACATAAAATCACTACGATATGAGCTGAAGGGGGGAGGTAGGTGTGCAAAACAGCCATCATGTACAAAACAATAAAATCTAACAGAAAACTCATTTCATCTGCATATGTACAATCTAGATAAAGTGGACTATTTGACACAGAAACAAACAAAAACACAACACGTACAAATATACAAAGATCTAAGAAAGAAATATCGATAAATAAAAGCTCACTCCCACGAATATTACACCAAAAAGTTGCACAGGACCACCGAAGAGCTGCTTGACCAGTGGGAGCAAGGAAGGAATGTGATTGGATGATAAACATCAAAGTCACCTTGATCTCCGGTGGGATGAATCAATAGCAGGGCTTCGGTGTTTTCTATTTTTCCCCTTGGAAGCTTAACGCAAACAAACCCATCTAAAGCAAATCAGCAAAGATACATTTGGTAAAACTCAGACAACACTGAGAACACAACAATTAGATTTTCAGATGAAGACAGAGTTTTGTTTGCTCTTTGGGGTCGTGCGACTCAATTCAAGTTTGGACAAAGCTTTAAGTCTAGCGATAACTCTGCTGTAAACAAATAAAAATCATATGTTTGCATCAAAGGAGAAAAACTGGCTCCACGATGCACACGGATGCACCGCAAGACAGAATATTTAATAATAATTTGCCTTTTTTTAGAGATTTCATTCCTCAGCTGTTCCCAAACAGAGCCGAAAACTGCCAGGGCGCTCTGAACTCAAGACGAGGCTTTGGTCAGTCATGTCACAGCGGGCGTTTCCCATCACATGAAGATGCATAAACTCCAGCTGTGACCTCACTGAGTGGAGTCTGGCCAGATGTGCAAGGGTTCTGACCAAAAACAAAAAGACAGCTGCTTTTGGTGATCGTGTAAGCAGTTTTCTTCCGTCTGGTTCGTAACCAGGAAACAAAGACGTCGTTCAGAGGTAAAACAGTCCAACCATTGTGGCCGTGCTAAATATCAGATGGAACCTGATCTACTTAAAAAGCCAAGGCAATCAAAGCCTGCTCTGAGCTGAAAGGCTGAGTTCATTACAACCACTTACTGTACAGGAAGGGAAGTGGCTTCTGAAGAAAGATCAGAGGGATTGTGCTGGTCTCACATCAACACGTTGCCAGGGACCGAAACAGCCTCTTAAGGCTTGTTTTTCTCCAGTTGCAGCCATTTCATCTTCTCAGACATACAGTCTGCATTTTTTGAACTTCTCAAATATCCTCCTAACAGAAGATTGTGCTATTAACCGCCAATTTAAAACGCCAAGTCACAATTTCACCAAGGGATTCTCTGGCAATAAAATGTTGCTCAACTTCTAAAAAATAATCAGCACTTGCAGGACTGCAGCAGCCAAGAGCAGCACGTCTGATTAAAAGACACAACAATCATCTTCAAAAACACAACAAAAATATCTTGTAGTCTGATATTTGTGGCTTGGTTTCCAGAGAGCTTCTGTAGCTGAGCCTGCCTCCTGGAAACTTGTGTGCCACCACAGGCATCTTGGCAAACAAAGGCTCCCTTCTGAACTTTTTGAACATTCAACACAACAAATTAAAAAAACAAAACAATAACTGGTCATTCATCAACCTCAAAAAAATAATTAACTTTCTCAAGAATAAGATGAATTCTCATGTAGTTGAAGTGATGCATCGTGGGAGGGAAGGCAGAAAGAAGGGGCTTCTTAGTTGTCTTTTTTAGGCAAGAAGCTGAGGATAAATTCCCCCACGCCCAGGAAGTATACCACCTGTGCAATGCCGAACAGCGGTGCAATGACCAGGGCTCGACAGTACGCTCCCTTCAGGAAGGCCGCCGGACCCTCGTTGCGCATGATTTTCCTAGAGAGCAAACACCGACTCATCACTTATATGAAACCACACACCCAGCATTAGTAACGTGTCTGTGCAGAGGATGTCAAAAGCAGCCACACACAGCACCGACATAACCAGGTCACCTGATGCAGTCGGTCACTCCACTGTACGTGTCTTCTGTGCTCGCTCGGTTCAGGGACTGCAGCCGAGTCTTTATTACTGCAATTCAAAGAGACGCCGATTAGAACCTAACGCGGAGCGTCGGTAGCTGTAGAAACGCAACTGGAGACCCCTGCTCACCGTCAACGGGGTTGACAGCAACGGCCGCTGTGCTTCCTGCAACGCAGCCGGAGACAAACGACACGTAGAAAGGAGCTGGGCCCTCGGCGCCCCGTTTGCCCAAGTTATTCAGGTTGGCAAAAAGGGGGAAATAGATGATGGAGAAAGGAACGTCCCTATGAAGACAGAAAGAAGACTTTTAATTAATACCGTCTAATATGGAGAAATGATTGAACTGGCTCTTATAAATATATATATATATATATATATATATATCTATATATATATATATAGATAGATATATATAGATATATATAGATATATATAGATATATACATATGTAACAGTCTTTTGAGAGTTTTAAGATAAATTAGTTGTAGTAGCCATCTTAGCTGTGCCCTAATCCAGCAGCTACATACTTCCGGGTGCACATTTTAAGACTTTGCAGCGAATCGACAAAGCTGCTCAAGTTTGATGAAGACTTAAAATGCGTCCTAGTTCCCCCTAGACTTCATGAGCCAGTCTGGCGTAGCCCTATAGACTTATGCCATCCCAGATTCATTGCAGAATGAAGGGTAGATTTTTTTTATTTCTGTAATGTTGGCGAACGAAGTAGAAGATCAGAGTTTCAAGTGTTAGCATGTATAATAATATCTGGTTGTGCAAAAAAATGAAAGTCTTAGGCGGTTGTGTTGTTAAGGTTTTTGTTTGCGTATTTGTTTTTTATTGTGAAAAATATTGTGAAAAATCCTCACAAACAAGCTAGCATAGCCCGTATTTCTACACGTATTGCTTAAACTTCTGTTTAGTGCCATCACAGTTGCTAGGCAACAGCTTGCACACTGAGGTAGGGGGAAAGAATGAATATAGAAGCTAGGTAGAAGAAGGACCCGTCCTACGTGGACGAGGTAGGATGGGTAATCACAAGGATGCTACCTCTGAATTTGGACAGTTGGTGAGATATTTTGATTTTACTACAGACTTACTACTTTATGACGTACCTGAGCAATGTGGCACCGAGGCCCTTATAAAGCCCAGCTATGCCCTTTTCCCTCAGTAATTGTCTGGTTAGCTGCATGGCTGTGGGGGACTTGGTCTCCACGGTGCCTGCAGCCACCGTCTCCGGCATGAGCTTCCTCTGAGCAGCTAAAACAAACAAGAATAAAATAAACACAGCTTTAGACTTCCATCATCTACCAGTGCTCAGACCTGACTTGCTGAAGGTGTATTCTCTTACACGGCCACATGGGGCCGCCCTATCTCCATCGTATCAACACTTCAGTGAGTGATTAACTAGCAGCGGTTTGTAATTTCCTCTTACCAAGCCTTCCAGCATCCTGAAGCTGGATTTTCAGCATCTCCATAGGAGTTGTTACAATAACCTAGAATTAAAGCAGATCAGACAAGGTCAAACCATTTTTTCTGTCAGTACATGTAATATGAAAGTTTAATTGTGAGTGGTGCGGGTGTCCGAAGTCTGGCATCCATTCAATTAATGCCTAGTCTTGGTGTCTGCTGTAGTCACACATTAGTAACTAGTTAACTAGATTAAGGGTGAGACGGGCATGTAATCCAAGAATCTGCTGCTCTTAATCTAATCACGTTCCTCGAGCATGAAGCCCTCATTGACAAGAGGCCTTTCCCTCTGACTCACTCAGCCAGCATCTTATCTGAGCACTCACATCTGCATAGCTGCCAGGATATATCGCCTCACAAACTAGAAAGACGTTCAATCTGAACATTAAAGCTCACAGATAACACAAGTTACAAACTCCCAGTGTGTTTTGGTGACCGCTGTAGCTCGCTCTAGTGCCGTTGTGGCTGAGTGCAGCAGCAAATGACAAAGATAAATGAGGCAGTGCCTCAGGCCCGCTGCTGTGTGCTGAAGTCAGAGGGTCCATATGGAGGAAAAGTAGGATGCGATGAAATCTGAACCTTGCTAACTCACTCACCTGGCATGTACCTGCCCCACACCCGGCCAGCATCTCTTTGAGCAGAGTGAGTTTTCTGGAGAAAAAAAAAAAGCATGATCAGAACAAAAAGTGACAGGCATCTTTATTCCTGCAAAACCTTTAAGCAGAAAGCTCCTCCAGAGCTTGTGATGCTAATCTTTGTTTTCCAAGTCTGCATGACAGGGACAAGCATGGATTAATAATTTACACCAAGGGTAGCTAGGCCAGACGAGTCAGCCTGCATGTTTGTTACCATGGGGATGGAGGCAGATGCCCCAGAAAGCCTCTGGTTTATCTGTGCACGCAGCACTGAAGGTGAGCTACCGCTACTTCCACAAGATGATGTTTGCTAGCACCATACCATGCAACCTGGCAACCTAATTTGAGTAACTCTGTGATTGTGAAGTCACACAATTAACAAGGCAGCTTGGAATGCTTCGTGCATCCGGAGAGGTGACAGAAAGGTGAAGGATTACCGGGAGCCTCGGGAGAGAATGCAGGCAGCTAATGTGTGGGGTTGTAACACATGTTAGTAAACACGCCATTTAGTTGATGAGGGACGTGGGCGTGCTGTAAGTCAGGCTGTCAGCGCTTTAATGCCTCACCCATCCTTAGAGAGGTGATGCCTGAAGAAGTCGTTAGCAGCCAATTTAATGGCTTTCTCTGGTGTGACTAGCGTTAGGTTCACCGCAGCTCCTGGGGGGGGCAAACAAAGGACAGCGAACAAGAAATTAAACCGCAAAAAATAATAACACAAGACAGACAAACAAGGAAATTAGGTGGTTTACACTGGAATGCTTTGATTGTTAGCTATGTTTGGTGTCTCATTAAAGCTGGGGCATTCCAATCGTTGCCAATGAGCCAACAATAAGCTCCGAGAATCTTACCTCGATACATCCCGAAGTACCCCTCTGACCTGATGGTCTTAATAAGGCAATCTGACCTGAATGGCAAAAAAAACATCAGCAGTGAGTCAAAATGCTGGCTGACAGGCACCATCTTTGTGAGGTACTGACAAATGTTCCGTACATGCTGGTATAAAGGCGAGATCCATTTTGCTGGTTTTGCAGACGAGTCTTGGCCAGGTCAATGGGAAACACACAGGTCACTCCAATCAGGCCGGCGATCCCTCCATTAATCAATTTGGCAGGCAAACTGGGCGTAGGTGGAGTTTAAACAAACGTACGAGATGTAGAATTAACCCTCCCACTGTCCTAATGGGTGTGACCCCGCGAGGAAAGTTGACCATTGAGCAAGGTTGATGGTTTATCCCTTGGGTCCATGTGGCAGGGGTGAGGAGTGAGCACCGCCTCACCCCTGCCACCTCAAGGGATAAACCATCAATCCTGCTTAATGGTCAACTTTCCTCGCGGGGTCACCCATAAAGACAGTGGGAGGGTTAAAAGTGTGTAAAGTTAAAAGCAAAAACACAATTTTTTTTCTAAATAAATATTTTCAGAACCACCTGTACCTGATCTGTTTATCAGCCATTTATTAAAAGCCCTTTCTGGTCCCTCAAGCGGTTAGTTCCTCTTGGTTGTTGGTGACTGTGGTGCTGTGTGGTCCAGGAGGGGTCAAACAGCTGATTGCCCGCTTGCTTCTATTGAGCTGGTTTTAATTCAAGTACTTCTGTGAAAGAAAGAAGAGAAAGACCAGTTCATGTTCAACATTCTCAGAAAGTGACACAGTGAAGAAACACCACAGAAGCAACGTAGCAAACATTTCATCTATTACGTAACAAAGATTAAAATGGCCTTTTAGCTCAGCGACACCCAGAACCAGCCCATTTTCTTACACACCAAAACATAAGGAAATATTTTCTATTTTCTCTACCTAAAACTGAGAATTTACAGATCATTTATTTAAAATGAGGGTTTTAAATGAACTCAGGGGAAGTGAAAGCTTTACCAAAATGATCATTTTGCACATAATACATTTTGTAACACACATTTTCAGTTTCCTTCATTAAAAAAAAAGAAATATGTCAAATTGAATGTGTAATAAATCTTATCCCACTGATGGATCGGCCTTTCCTCTGTTTGCTCTCAAGCGTTAAGGTTATCTTATTATAGCAGGAGTACATAGTCTAAACATATATGTGCCTTAGCTGGATGCAAGTATCTGAAATAAAAGAGCAAGTCCATTTCTATTCTAGAATAGAATAGAAAACTGGTTTAAAACCAGTCTAAAGCCTAAACGGCTTTTATTGTGATCATTTCAGTTAAATAAGTGACACATGCTCCACCCAGGTGAAATAATAAGCTGTTCCCTGTGCTCTGAGTTACCTGGTAAATCAGAGTCTAGAAAACTCCCATTATTAATAATAAGTGGTGATTTATTGATCCACATCTGACCCATCCCAGTGGAGCAGTGAGATGCCATCAGTACAGTTTTCTGCCTAAAGACACTTCAACACACAACCTTAGTTCTGGAATCAAACCAGTCTGATCAGTGGACACCCACTCTCCCCATTCAGCAATTAGATTTAAACACTTTTTCAAACTTAATGGAGGAAATGTAGCTACTTTTAAAAGTTATGATAATTCTACCTGCATAAAAGTGTTTCAGAGCTCTGTTAGTTTTTGAGGTTTTGTGTTTGAAATCTTTCATTCAAATTTACAGTGTGATAAAGATCTGTGGCTTTTTCTGACCCGACCCTTTTCTCGTCTGTTGTCTTCCTGCGGCCAATACAGGAAGTAGCGGGAGAACACTCATATTTAAATTAGTATCATACAGTTTCTCAGTGAACCAACCCTTTAATGTCTACAAAATAAAAGTCTGAAAACTGTTCGTTATTTTTAGTAAACCAGGTTTTAACAGAGGTTATTGTGATGCTTCTCCAACCTCAAAATGTGGACGTATTAGTCAGCAGCTGCAAACTGTGTGAAGAGGTAATTTGACCGTAAGCATTTTGCTAACCTGATGGATAAGCTTGTTAATCATTAAAAGTTTGATGGGTGTCAGCGGTTTTAGAGCACTTGAAGACAAAAGCAGGTTTAAATTAAAGCTGCAAGCAGCGTCGTTCGGCCCTCACAGCTCCGCGCCGCTCCGGCCTGGCCGGCAGCCCGGGGCACCAGGGCACGTCCGCGGAACAGAAACGTCGACCACCCCGACACCTGAAACCGCAAACGGTCACCTCGTCCGCACTTCACCCTGACTCAGCATCCCCTCTGAGCCCTCCATTTAATTACACGTCTCACCACTAGGGCATACTCTATCTTTACCACACTGATGGTGTGATGACACAGACCAACTTTAATGCTATTCTGACCACGATTTTTGAAGTTATTGAAGGTTAAATTAATCTAAGAGGCGCTGTGACCAACGACAGAAAAATCCCATTGAGGTCAACTTTGGTTGACAAAGATGGTTTTCTGTTATTTTGGCATCAATCAGACGTTGTGTGTTCTTTCTAGAGCCAGTGAGCTGAAAGGGGCGGAGCTACAGGGATTTGAACCAACAACCACATCAATGTGTTTGGTGCAGTCACTGATGTCACAAGCCAAGTATAATGCCATTCTGACCTTGTCTCTAGAAGTTAATAAAGTTTGAACCCATCTAGGGGGCGCTGTGACCGTTTACATCTAAATGCCATACAGGTCATCTTTGGTCATCAAAGATGGTTTTCTTTTAATTTGGCATCAATCAAACGTTGCATGGGTCACCTAGAGACAAAAAGCTGTAAGTGGGTGGAGTTAAAGTGATTTGAACAAGTGAGCACATACATGTGTTGATTGCAGTTGTGTGATGACTCCCACCAAGTTTGATATAGTTTGGAGCTTTTTTGGAGATGATACAAAGGTTTTATTGTATCTAGGGGGCGCTGTCCCAAATTTAGGAAATATTCCATGAAGAAGTTTGTAGGTTGATAACAATCATTTGTGTGCAGTTTGGTGTTAATTGGATCATGCATGTGTTATTCAGGGCCTAATATCTGTCAGGGGGCGGAGCTAAAGCGATATCAACCAATTACCACAGGATTGTATTGGGTGCCTTTGTGTGATGACACATAGCAAGTTTGGTGCAGTTACGACCTCGTCTGTAGGAGTTATTACAATTTTAAAGGTATGTAGGGGGCGCTGTGGTGACATTATATAATGTTCACCAACCGTTTGTGCCTTGTTGGCTAAAGGGCATGATTGTTGATTGCCATGTTCACTTTGCGCTTGGCTCCAAGAGACTTTTTTGTAGATCCTGAGACACCACATTAGTGTACCAAATTTCGTAATCCTCAGTCAAAGCATGGCTTGGGGCTGACAGTTTTAATGGTCCTAGGGGGCGCTATTTCAGAAAATAGGCCACGCCGACCGGATTTTCACATCAGATTTTTTGGGGGGCCGGACTAGGATCACTCACAAGAAGTTTCGTGACGATATCTTTAGAAATGACAAAATGGGAGGCAAACGTAAGGCCATGGCGGTACGCCTGACTTCGCCGCGCCGCCACAGCCCCGTCCTCTGCCGAAAACTCCCATAAAGTGATGCCAAGCAACCCCCACTTGTCTTGAGTTACCAGCTACAAATTTGTGGTGATTAAGTGAAATGGGGCAATTTGGGACCTTTCAAAGTAAAACTTGACCTTTTTGGTCCTGAGGGGGCAGGACTTGTGTGATGTCATCATCCGACCATTCAATTTACTTTGTGGGTGGATGATAAATGACCACAGAAATTTTTGTGACTCTATTCCATTCAGTAATGAAGTTATAGCAATTAACATTTTTTTGGCGAGTAGTCAAACTTCGAGGCCTGGCCCCGCCCCTTCAGCATATACGAAAACTCAGAATCCTTGTCTCATTTTGTTCGTTCATCCCTTCTGAGCAATTTTACACAACTTTTGAGACGATCGTGCGAAAAATGATCGAGCAATCCAATCAGAAACGGACCCTAAAAACTGCAAAAAATCGTCATTTCAACCCAAAATGGCCGACTTCCTGTTTGATATGGACCATGCTTGCAAGAGGCTTTTCTGTGCGGACTGTTGAGTACTACAAGTGTACCAAATTTCATAACTGTACGATAAACTAAGCTTTATGGAGAGGGTTTTTTTCACTTTCTAGGGGGCACTGTTAAGCCATTTTCTTTGCGATTTTTTTGGGACCTTTAAAATATCAAATTTTTCACCAGGCCTGACAAGTTTGCAAAATATTGTGAGTTTTGGGGTATGTTAAGGTCCCCAAAACGCCGTTCAAAGGGGGCACGGAATAACAAAAAATAATCAGAGCAAAAACAAGAGGCCTTCACAGCGCTTTCACTGCTCGGGCCTGATTAAATCAAGGGCCATCACACAAACTCCAGCCTAGAATATTCCTCATAGGCTGAATTATTGACGACCCTCTCGACCACTGGAACATCTGTGTGTCCTTGTGGTTTAATTTTAAAGATTGAGCCATACAAGTAAAGCTAAAAGAGTACAGATGTAGCCATGATGATCCCGTTTTCTGAAGCAGAGTGCTGTTACTGTAAAAAGATGCTTCCAATTTCCCCTTTTTTTCTCTCCACCCCCTTCATCCACCAATCACAGCCTGGCTCCGTGAGTGCAGCTCTTCTCTTGCTCTTTCCCTCCCTTCATCACCTCCCTCTCTCTATCATGATCATGAGTCACGACTCACCAAATGCAGCTTTTCCACCTCAGATCTTTGCTGACTTTCAGATTTTTTTGTGCAAAGTTCAAACGAGTACACGAGCAACTTCGCAAGTTTCTCCAATGGATGTTTCCAGTAACTTCATCAGAATGAAGCAGTAATCTGGTGTGCTCAGTTGGAAGGAGGGAGGACTGGGAGGCCCTCACTGGCTGATCCAGGGGTGGGGAAATGAAGAGGAGGAAGGTGGGTCTGTGACTGTCTTTCAGCTGGCTGTCCTGCTCCCTGTAGCTTCACAGCCCACCTATAGCTCAGCAGTGACTCTTGGCCCATTTTCTTCTCCTCCCTCTGACTTCCTCTTATAAAATAAACCCCACAGTCATCGCTCTTGTTTTTCTTTCAACCATTTCAATTCAGCTCTCTTAGTAAAATAACTGGAGAGATGTGCCAGCTGTTTGAATCGCTGACATCTTTTGAACATGACATACTCAAAGACCCTGAATTCAGCGTTACTTGTCACGTTTACTTAATGCAACTATGCCGGCACAAGGAAACGCATCTGACTTCCAGCCACAGTCTGGCCACAGCGCCTTGACATGACAATTGGAGTCTGTATGCACACAGCAAGTCCCAGTGTGGAGTGTCCACAAAACATTGCTCATCTCCAAAATATCCAAGGAATTTATTTTAAGCATAATGAAGTGATAGAATCTGTTGTGCAATGGGTATTTCATTTCACCAGACACTCAATAAACCAGCTTTATGTCTAATAAACTCCATACTACACATGTTTTCCTTTTTATTTGTGGTTTTTAGTGGTCGAAGGTTATAATATCAGCTTACTGCCTATGTGTATGCATATACATGTACCTTTGCTATTATTTTTCTTTAAACTTTTCTTAAGTGTGCTAAGTGAATTTCCCCACTGTGGGTCTATTATTCTATTGCCAGAATGTATTCAATTAACCCACTTTAACCTAAAACAAACATGCTTAATGTGGCTTTATATGTTCCCTCATGCATTTTTGTTAATGTTTTAGGTTTGTGCCAACAGAGCTGATAAGTACTGATGAGCAAACATCAGGTGATTACACAACTTGTGCAAAGCCTTGAACTGAACTTAAGTCAGCCGACTGAAAGCAGCTATTGGATATGCTTGATTAAAGAGCAAGTTCACAGTCCCAAGTCTGATAACGCTCCAGTTTTTGACCCTTGATCGTCACTACAAGTTGATCAATGATGGGTAATTACTCACAAGGATATTCAGCCAAGGTAACAATAGATACAACTGTTAGGTAAATAAAAAGAAGTGATGATGAGTTTGTGGCAGCATATGCCAGCTAACTGGAGAAATGATGAAACAGCACAAATATACAATGGGATGTTTCTTATAGAGATTATTACCAATCATCTTTCTCTCCTGGAACAATTACAACGGGTAATATCACTGCTACTACACAATGAAAGACAACACTCATCATTTAGCATTTTGTGCATCTAAACTAGAAAACTTTAAAGTAAAAATATAGATGTATTTTAATCTCTTTTTGTCTGAGTGATGGTTGAGTTGAGAAACTTGACCAGTTTCAGATTTGACACCACTCTGCTGACCAAAAACCACACTTGATAGGGTAGGTACCCTATACTGGGATCTCTTTCTCTGCTTTACGGCTGTTAGCTGTTACGCTAGTGGTTAGCATTTTCAGTTCACAGATCATCAACAAAAAGCGCAAGAAGAAGAAAAAGAAGTTTACTCTTGCTGTTGGCATCATGATGGAACCCGGAGGTGAAGCAAAGAGCTAAAACCAGAGTGAACATCGGGGCCTACTCTAGTTCAGGAAGCTAAAGGCGGCTACAAATGGTGACCTGGCTTTGTTGATACTGGATTTGTAAGTTATAACATATTTTTTGTCCAACAGTGTGAAACTTTTTACTCTGTGGTTTATTTTAGCATTAGTTGACTCAGGTTAGTGTTAGCTCTTTGTTAGCACTAGCCACATCAGGCTGCAGCAGGGTTGTTTACGAGGATTGTAATTCCACTTTCAACCAGTAGGGCAGAGGAGCAGGAAACTGCTCTTTGTTACTTTAAATGTATAGCGGAGGATCTTTTTCCTCCGGGTGGATCATCGGAACAATTGGTCCGCACAACTGTCAATCATTCTGTTGAACCATTCACGCAAGGCCGTCATCATACGTGCTCGTTGCTGGGTAGTTCTCACTTCCTGCGCAAAGCGAAGGTTGAGCTTTCTGCTCGACAGGTAAGCTTAAGTTCGGCAAGCTATTTGGAGAAATTAATTTCCTCCATACCTTTAATTGGTATTTGTCTGATAGATGCACCAAAAAAGCATCTGGTGTTCTGCATTACATAATTATCATTCAACACTTAAAATTATATTCTATTAATTATAGTTCTTTGGGATAATTATTTTGGGGAGGTTAAATCGGGATCAGCACATCTCGAGCATCATAAATATTAAACTTTTTTTGTAGTCCTTAAAAAACTGGTGATTGTACAAATTCTAAGTAAAGTAAAATCATAGAGAAATGCTATTTGTTATCAGCAAAGGAAGAAACTAGAAGGGGTGTGTAGATCAGAGATGGTGGGATTTAAACATGAAGTTATAAAGCTAGCTGCTAAAGACAACCAACTTCATGGCAAATCTGCTTTAAAACATAATAGATCCGGAAATAAAATCAGCTTGAAAAGCCCCAAACCAATCTACTCCTGTGAATTATCAATGCAAAAACCCCAAAAGCAAATCCTGCTCAGCCGGAGCGAATAAAATACCTGACCCGTCCCAGCTCCTTGGTGTCTGGTCTCAACAGGGTAAAGGTCTTTAGTGACTGATAACAGTGGATTTTAGAGGAAAAGATAAAAGGAAGTGAGCGGCTGGGACACTTGAGTCACATGACCAATGTGGTTAAGAAAAGAGAAAAGAACCGAAATTCACGATACACGCTCTCTTCATTAGCTTAGTGCAGAATGCTGCTGCCAGACCATCTGTCTCACATCACGAGCTGCTCTCAATAACACACACACACACACACACACACGTTTCTGCAGTATTCTATATATTCTTTGACCTATAAGATAAAAAATTAATTAAAGGAGTGTGTTTTAAGTAATCCTCTACACTGATATGCAATGATTTGACGTCAGAATACATGAAATTCCATCTATTTTTGAATCTAAACAACCACGCCAGTGTGCAGGATGAAATTGTGGTGTCACAGACAAATCTGATTACCATTTCCTCTTCCCTGCATCACTGGGATTATAAACTTAATACATACTTATGGGATCTCATTCCCAGCCCTTCTATCCACAGCCAGAGGAGTGGGATCTGGGCAGAGCGATGTGTTTCTGCCCCACTGAGATCATATTGCAGCCTTTAAACACGCACAAAAGTACTTATTTTCTTTGGTATCACCTGTTGCAGATCAGGAAATATCAGGTTGAGTTTGGCTTTCATGTGTCAGAGAGGTATAAAGCTCTTTTGTGCAGAGGGAAGGTGAAGAGTTTAGAATCTCCTCTAACACCCCGGTTTCAAGTATTCCACAGCTATTCTCTCTTACTTCTTTGTTTTGCTCCAATCTCATTCTCCGTCCTGCTGGTGAATTCTCTACACACAGGGGGAAAAAACTCCCTATAAACGTAGCTTTGTGTCATTTATTTTCATACAGTGAGCATATGTGTGTGACTTTTACAAACCCGCCTATGAATATTTGGGCAGTACGTGTGATCCTGTGATAACTTCACCATGGTTTTGTTAGAAATGATCCTTAAAAGTTCCACAGTCCTCTTGAACAACACAGGATGTCACTGTACACCCAGGAAGGGCTAACCTTGTGAATTATTTATTTCTCGAATCCTTTGTTACATTGTGTGGCCTTAGCCTTGGAGGGTTGTGAGTTTCTAACTGCTGCAGATGGCTCTTTAAATAGCTAGAGTTCAATCCTGACCAAAAAGTGTGAAATCTAATCTAAAAAATGCCATAGCAGCTTACCTTAAGGGCTTTTACACGATTTTAAACATTAGGCTGCTTTTAGTTTTACATGAAAGTTATTCTGGCAGGAATCTGAGTTTCAGCACAGAAATGCTAATTTCTACTGTAAATATTTCAGTTCTTCAACTCCAGACCACTCGCAGAACCATCTACAACATGTAGTTATTATGTTTTTAATAACCCATTTCAACAGCATGCAATGCATAAATTAAAGCTGAGCACCGGCCAATTGTTTTGTCTTTTAGAGCATGCATGTGTGCAAGTTTGCAGGAGCAGCTGCTAAATGCTGTCATGTGTGCTTGGGTGGGTGTGGGGGGGGGGGGGGTTAATTGAGGCCTGTAGTGATAGCTGGGACCCAAAAGACTTTTAGGAGAAATACCAACACCATCCTGTCTGTTTTTCTATGCAGGTGACACATTTCCGCCTGTTCTGCGCTCCAAATGAAGAGCTGGTTTAGGAGAGGGTGCCCAGCAGATGCTGGAGCATCCTCAGCTGTTCCACCAATGAGAGGAGGTGGGGACTCGGGATTTTTACACCCTCGTTGATGAACGGAAGCCGGCAGCTGGCCCCTTAAGGAGCTCGGACTAATGATGTTTCAGTTTGACTCAACCGTGGTGCTAGATCATAAAATCATACACATGCTACTAAATACTGACGTAAACCATGAGTCTCTGATCAGCTCCTTATGTGACCGTTACGTACCGGAGGCTGACTAGCGGTTCGGTGGGAGTTAGGGGCAGAATATGACAGGATAGCTCTGACAGTACCGGTTAATCTCGTCCATTTTAATTTGTATGACGCTAAACTCGACATCGTTAACCGCACAGCTCCAACGCTGCTCAGACATTCGCTACCTTAGCATATGACGGGAAATGACTCGCTTCCCGCTCCTCAGCCTCTCACATTCGCCTTTATAATTCACCATTAACATATTTAAGCTAATGGCGCTTTCAGGTGTCATTTTAACGACCGCAAACCGACAGAGACACGGGATTTAAAAATTAAAAACGCAACCAGATTCTTAACAAATGCATCTCCCGTTATGTACATACCAGAGTCGCTTCCGCTGTTTCCTTGTGGGTGAATGAGAGGTGAAATCTGATGTTACACTCTGTACCTTTGGCTGAAAGAGCGACAGTAGATAACCCGCTGAGAAGGTGGGAGTGAATGCAAGCCGGGAGGTAGGCAGGAAAGGGAGGAAGGGAGGGGGAGAGGTCTGGATGCAAACGGGAGTAGCGGAGGATGGATTTCAAATACGCCCCCTAGCGGTGGGTAGTGGAAGTACGGCCAAACACGCGTCACCGTGACGTCACGTCGAAACACAATGACCTTGGACGTAAAAAGCGAAGAAAAAAACTGCAAGAGGTGTAATATTGGATTAAAGGTAAACATGCACAAATAAAACAGCACAAATCTCTGAATCAGTCGATTAACTGGATTTATACATCAAGTCTGAGGTTCCTTCCTGTAAGAAAATTAAAACCTATACGTTTAAAATCACCTAAAAAAATATATCAGACTAGGTTTGATGAGTGAATGCTTAATCAGCTCTGATTTATCATTTATTATATAATTTTTCAATTTTTTTTTTCAAAAATTTCCCCAAAAATGCTTTATTTAAATAAACTACATTTCAGTCAATTTCACTATTGGATGTTTTTACTAGCAGAACCTTTCTCCAGGCAGAATTAACTTAGATTAAGTTGCTTTACATAATACAAAAAGTGCCAAAAAGGACGAGGTCATAGTTCATTGTGCAGTTACTGCATGTTGCTTTCCCTTGTTTAGATAAAAGTAGGACTGGTGGGTGACTGGCTGTCACATCTGTGTCCCACTAGAGGAGAAATGATGGGGGTCGATGTAAACAAACAGCCTCCTGTGCCCCAGTGGAGGCTCATCTACTGCTGCACCTCCTCAAGAGAGGAGCCCTCTGCTTCCAGGCCAACTCTCTTCAGAGAATCGGAGTACTTTTTCCTTCCTAAATTCACAATGTCCTCAATCTCGTCTGCCAGGTCTCTCCGTCCGCTTTCTATCATGGCAGCCACGAGCCTTGATGCTGCCCCAGGTCCTGCATTCCTCTGTCCCCGAGCCCAGAGAAACAGCATGTCCAGCACTAAGGCACCCAGGTTGTCCCTGGTGAGCAGAAACACACACGAAATGTTACTTTATTTGCAGCTGACTGACTGGAAAAGGGACTAATGTAAAATGCACCACATTAACCTTTTGTGGGTATGAACATGCATCATTCTATGCAGGTGACTCAGTTATTTCGGAAGAAATGCCAAACATCTATCAAAAATCTATACTCAATATTATACATCTTGATATTATCTATAAACCTTATACTAATGCATAAATATGTGGTTTTGTACTATATATTTTACTCCACCTGCAGAATGTGTCATGATGAGAGGTTTATTTTAGCTTGGGAGAAGGGGGGAGGGCCAGATGAGCAACAGTCTGTGTAATCTCCTGCAGTGTCCCAGATGGCTCAGAGATGGCTGACAGTGCACATTAAAACAATCAAAATTCTCTCCTGTTTTTCTTCCACTGTGTTTTCTTTTCCTCAAGCAACAGACAAGGGATTTCACTTCAGTCCCACTGAAGTTTTCACTTTGTGCACTGATGACACCATTCAGTCATGCAGAAAATGAATATTGTATCTACTTTTCTGCAGCAACTGTAGTGACTTCAGGCAGAAAGGATGCTGTCTCCATTGTCACAGACCTAATTACATTGATTAAACACTTAAAGAGCAAGTCACCCCCTGCCATATTCTTACTCAACTCCCACTTCCTGTTTGAAAAATGCAACAAATGCTGTTGCCTAGCAGACCGAGAAGGCGGAGCCTCTAACAAATACACACTCACAACATTGTGACATCATAATATACCATCTAACATCATAGTGTACCTCTTAGCCAATAGCGATGGCAGATTTAAATTCAAATGCAGTGCTGAGTTTTTGCCTGACGACAGTGCATCTCTGACAGTTTTAGGCAGAATAATTAAATTTTAACTAAGATGCACTAAAGTGCCGAATTATTGACTACATTTGTCTACAGCACAATCGGACACTCATTTATATAGTTTATCAGCAAAAAAAATGGTGATTTGGAGTGACTTGCTCTTTAAGCTTTTTGCAGTTACAGAGGATTTTAAAAAAGGTTTTAAACTGCAATTATATTGTAATTTTGAATAAGGATTTTTGAAAGAAAAAAATGTTTCAGAATGAAAAATTTTCTTTAAACAAAGATCAGATACAACTTTAAAGCTCAAATGAGATGCGAAAACCTTTTAACAGAAAGTGCGTCCTGGAGATTAACAGATTTGTTGTGTATCTTCTATTTCAACGAATTTAGACCAAACACACACACACCTTAGATAAAACACTTCTCCTGACACTCCAGGAAATTACCAGGATTTTTAAAAGATTGCACAAAAAAGTTCCTAAATTAGCCTTCTAACTGTCCAGTTCAAACATCTGCAGGATGTGTTGGGACAAGCTGCAGCTACAAACCTGCAGCCCGCATACCCAAGATAATTATGGAGCTAGGATTGGGACAATATTACATGTAACTGTAAGGATCTGCTCCAACCCTCTGACTCTTGGTCTCGTTTCCCCTTAATTAGTTGTTTATTGGACTCACCTGCCCCTTGTTAACCTACCCATGTGTTCCTGATTATGCTTGTGTATTTATACCTGTTTTAGACTTGTCCTTTGTCAGATCATTGCAGTGTTACATTGCTCCCGTTTGGATCATCCTACCTGCCATTATTCATTAAATCCATTTTTTTTTTGCCTGACCTGCCATTCCTGCTTCCTGGTCCAGCTCCACAACACATGGGTCCACCACCATCTCCACTGCATCGTGACAGTAACTTGTACCAAATTAGAGTTGAGACCAAATGTTTTATACATGTAAACTTGAGTTTTGTAACTGTAGACTGAGATGTGTGTTTTGAAAATTGTGGTTTGAAACTTTTACATAGATTTTTTTTTATTTTTTGCAAGTTACAAAATTAAAGTTTCATGTTACTTACAGAAAGCCACATGTTACAAAATGAGAATTACATGCTTTGAAACAAATGTTACGTGTTACAAAAGTGAATTGCATGCTACAAAACAAAAATTGGTAACAAAACTTGGTGTAAGTTAATTTCAACCTGTTTTGGAAGCATTTCTCCTTTTTCAGGTGAGATGGTATTCACCCTAAGCGAATTGGCTCAAGCATGCTAACCGCTAACACGGTAGGGCTGGGCGATATGGCTTAAAATCAATATCATGATTTACTGAGGATTTCACCTCGATAACGATAAATGGACGATAACTACAAGCATGCGCAGAAACAAAAGTTGTCCACAAGATGGGGCTGTCACACGTATAACGTTGAGTCAAATTTTTACGTGACTCATGTTGGTACAGCTTCGTAAGGGGACATGAAAGTTGGCAACCTACATATTAAATTAAATGTTTACCTGGGGCCAGAGCGGGCGATATTAAAACTTATCTGAAACTGCTGGCTAAGGATAAGCGTAAATACAGTAAGATTGTTATTCACGCTGGCGGTAACGACACCCAGTTACGCCAATCGGAGGTCACTAAAATTAATGTTGCTTCGGTGTGTAAGTTTGCCAAAACAATGTCGGACTCCGTAATTTTCTCTGGCCCCCTGCCTGATCAGACCAGTGACGACATGTTTAGCCGCATGCTGTCCTTCAACCACTGGTTGTCTAGGTGTCCTGAAAACAACGTGGGCTACATTGATAATTGGAAAACTTTTTGGGGAAAACCTGGTCTGATGCGGAGAGTCGGCATCCATCCCTCTTTGGATGGAGCAGCTCTTCTTTCTAGGAACATGGCCAGTTTTATTAGTCCTCCATGACAACCCAGGGTCCAGACCAGGAAGCAGAGTCATAGTTTAACCCACCCCTCTGAAGCTTCTGTACTGTTACCCACCCACTACCCCATAGAGACAGTGTCCTGCCCATGGCCAAAATCCCACAGATTAAATATCAGGCTTAATAAAGCAAATCATGGAAATCTCATAAATATTAGAACAAATTCAACTGAGCAGAAAACTAGAAAAATTAAATGTGGGTTGTTGAACATTAGATCCATTTTTTCTAAGACTTTGTTAGTTAATGACTTGATTTGTGATAGTCAGATCTCTTTGTTCTCTCACAGAATCCTGGCTGCAGCAAGAGGACTATGTTAGCTTAAACGAGTCGACTCCTAATTATTTAAATCATCATATTGCTCGAAGTACAGGGCGAGGAGGAGGAGCAGCAACCATTTTTCATTCTGACTTATTAATCAGTCCCTTACCAATTAATAGCTACAGTTCGTTTGAACATCTTATTCTTAGTTTTCCTAATCCAGAATGCAAAACTGTAAAACCACTCGTTTGTAGTTTTATATCATCCACCAGGCACTTACTCTGAGTTTTTGGATCAGATCTCAGATTTTTTATCTGCGGGCTGTGCAGTGGCGCAGTGGTCAGAGCTGTTGCCTTGCAGCAAGAAGGTCTTGGGTTCGCTTCCCGGCCTGGGATCTTTCTGCATGGAGTTTGCATGTTCTCCCTGTGCATGCGTGGGTTCTCTCCGGGTACTCCGGCTTCCTCCCACAGTCCAAAAACATGACTGTTAGGTTGATTAGTCTGTCTAAATTGTCCCTAGGTGTGAGTGTGTGTGTGCATGATTGTTTGTCCTGTGTGTCTCTGTGTTGCCCTGCGATGGACTGGCAACCTGTCCAGGGTGTACCCCGCCTGACTGCCCGTTGATCGATGAAGATAGGCACCAGCCTTGTGTCTGTTCTAGTCTTGTTAGATCTCAGTGCTGCCTTTGACACAGTTGATCACAATGTTCTTTTAGAAAGACTTGAACATGTTGTAGGGATCAAAGGAACAGCGCTAGGCTGGTTTAAATCCTACCTGTCTGACAGATTTCATTTTGTAAATATACATGACAAATTGTCTTCATACTCCAGGGTTACTTGTGGAGTACCACAGGGTTCAGTGCTTGGACCAATTCTTTTTGCTATATATATGCTCCCAATTGGTAAAATCATTAGACAGCATGGGATAAACTTCCACTGTTATGCTGACGATACTCAGTTATATTTATCCATTAACCCTGATGAACCTAATCGGTTGGGTAGATTACAGGCTTGTCTTGAGGACATCAGAAATTGGATGACTCTAAACTTTTTGCTTTTAAATCGAGACAAGACAGAAGTTTTCATCTTTGGACCAGAAATCCAGAAAAGGAAATTGCTTAGCCAATCACCTGACCTGAATGGCATTACATTAATCTCCGAGAACAAAGTAAGGAACCTTGGTGTTATCTTTGACCAGGACATGCCATTCAAATCCCAGGTTAAACAGGTTTGTAGGATTTCCTTTTTCCACCTTCGGAATATTGCTAAGATTAGAAGCATCCTTTCCAGGAGTGATGCTGAAAAACTAGTTCATGCATTTATTACATCAAGACTGGATTACTGTAATTCATTACTCTCAGGAAGTCCACAGAATGTAGTTAAAAGTCTTCAGCTTGTCCAAAATGCTGCAGCTAGAGTTCTGATGAGAATCAAAAAGAGAGATCATATCTCTCCTGTCTTAGCTTCCCTACATTGGCTACGTGTTAAATTCAGAATAGATTTTAAGATCCTTCTTCTCACATATAAAGCTCTTAATAATCAAGCTCCATCATACATCAGTGATCTGATTGTTCCATACGTTCCTAACCGAACACTTCGCTCTCAGACTGCAGGTCTACTGGTGGTTCCCAGAATATCTAAAATTAGGATGGGAGGCAGATATTTTAGTTATCAGGCTCCTCTCCTGTGGAACCAGCTCCCAGCTTTAGTCCGTAAGGCAGACACTTTGTCTACATTTAAGAATAGGCTTAAAACATTTTTATTTGATAGGGCCTATGGTTAAAATCTGATGTTAGCCTAAATCTGGACAAGTGGGGGAGTACAGGGAGGTGGAGTGTGCAGTCGGTAAAGACGGCTCTCCCTTGCCCTTCCTCCAACATGCCTCCATCTAAATAGGATAGATTATCCAGAGTTTTCTCTGTAGTTATGCTGCTATAGGCTTAGACTGTGTGTGTGTGTGTGTGTGTGTGTGTGCGTGCGTGCGTGCGTGCGTGCGTGCGTGTGTCTGCCTGCTCTGTCTTCTCGATCCCCAGTGAGTCATGGAGGATGGCTGCTTATACTGAGCCAGGATTCTCTGGAGGTTTCTTCCTGTTGAAAGAGAGTTTTCCTCTCCACTGTCGCTTTATGCTTGCTTAGTATGAGGATTGCTGTATAGTCACTGGCACTAGTCAGTGACTTGATGCAATTTGCTGGGTTCCTTATATAGGAAACATTATTTCTGATTGGCCTAATGAACTGACCTGAATTGGAATGTTTATTATGTGAAGTGCCTTGAGACGACTCTTGTCGTGATTTGGCGCTATATAAATAAAATTGAATTGAATTGAATATATTTTTTCATTTTTTTTAATGAAACGTATTGACATTGGAAAATTTTTCACGATAAGAGTAAAAAATTTCGATAATGATAAAATTTCGATTTATTGCCCAGCCCTATAACAAGGTCTACATCCCAGCCATCTGCACCTACTTCGGCCATCGCTCACACCGCCACTCCAAATAACAATGCCCCCTACAGTCCTCCCCCGATGCAACCATTATCTGTGTGTATTACAAAGGTCACTGTCCCCAAAATTCTGTCTACTGCTGGCAAACCAAAAAGTTTTCCTATTCAGGTTCATTTACCAGCCAGCAAGGAAAACCCGTTTTTATGGCCAGAGAACCCAGAAATGCACCAGATGTTTACGACCCATCCTTCTCCAACAGGTTAAGAAGACAAATGATCCCCAGGATTCAATTCTGTGTGCCCATTCCATTTCAAACAAATCCTTTATTTTAATTGAACTGTTCATCAGAGAAAAGTTGCACTATTTATTTCTTACTGAGACTTGGCAGAAAGATGGAAATGTTGTGCACTTAAGTGAACTATGTCCACTAAACTTCTGTTTACCATGCCATGCCGTGCCCATCACATCATGGGGAAGGTCTTACTGTGGTGCTTAAGGATAAACGTGTCTGTGATTTGGTGAAAGACGGCCCTTTTGAATGTCAGGTCATCAATGTAGGGTTTTAAAATGTGTTTCACTGTATTTTAATCTACCGACCTCCTGGTCCAGCTGGCCCTTTTCTCTCTGAATTTGCAGCTTTTCTATCATCAATGATCAAACTACAACATGTTTTAATTCTTGGTGACTTTAACTTACCCATTAATGATCCTGATTGCAACACAGAATCAGAGATTTACAGAGAAGAAAGTGACGCCACCAACAGTGGCAAAGCTCTGAGGAAGGCTACGGTGAAACAAGGTCAAAATAACACTTTTGTTGTATTAAAAAAAGAACCGTAATGCAGACGGATGAAACACACAGAATGAATGTACAAAAGACATCTATTACAGAGTCTTTTAACTTGGATCAGCACGTTTCAGGCCCCACACATAAAATGGGCCATACTCTGGATCTTGTCTTTTCTTTGGGACTAAACCTCAACCATTTACATGTTGAAGAGGTTCATGTGAGTGACCACAGATGCATTTTCTTTAATGTCCAATCTAAGATTGATCCTTTCCCTCACAAACTGAAATCAGAGAGGCTCATTCGTCAGTCAGCAACCCCAACCAACCACCTTCCTCCCAACGTGGTCCTTCTTTACTCCTGTAAACAGTGACGAAGCCAGAAACTTATTTGTGGACGGGCCTAAGAAAAAATGGGTGGGCCCAATAAATGTAATTAATCTGCATGGGCAAGCCCCTCCCTTAATCTATGTGAAGCACTTTGTGATTTTCTGTCTGTGACGAGCGCTTTATAAATAAAATGTACTTACTACAAGCTAATATTGTCCCAATTCTAGCTCCATATGTGATCTCCTACTCATGTTCATTACCCAGAGCTTCATGGGATAGGTGCAAAGAACATCATCAAATTATCTCACAGTTTTACAGCAGAAGGGGGACTCAAAAAATTAAACAAACTGTGAGAGATCAATGTGCTTCAGCCAGGTCTTAAAAATAAGCTCCTGCACTCGATTAATGGGTTAATTACTGATATTTATATCATTTCAGTTCATGATGTGACTTCTCAAAGCAAGAAAAACACATAAAACAGTAAAAACTGTATTTAAATGTCCTAATAAGCTAGTTATTTGACGTTTCAGAAACACCATGAATGAATGTGTGCACATCTGCAGGCTTAGACACATCCTGAGTGTGGCAGAATCATCATGGCCCTTATTATTTACGTACCATTGAGTTTTTGCTTTGCATAATATGATTACTTACTTGTTTTTGTATTGTATCCGCTCCAAATCCTGGTAGCTCAAGCCAAGATGAAGTCCAATAACTCTCCAGTCTTGGCCAATCTGAAGCGAGATGGACAGCAGGTTGGATTCTGTCAAGTACCCACTCTCCGGGTCTCCCAGGTTCAGAGGAGGGTACTGCTCCTCCCTGATGAAACCGTTCTCGGAGTTTGGGGCCTGCAAAAGGAGTATGTTACAGTTACTGTCACACACGAGCTGAGCTGTAGAAATCTGCACAAAAAGTAGCTCTCTCATCAACTGACAGGAAGTCTTAACGGTAGAGTAGTGAGCCACTGGCTGTCCAGTCCTTTCCTCTTTCTGGCCACTTCCTCTGGTAAATTACTAGGAATGTCTCCTCTGTAAAAGGACACCTGTAACAGCAGATTCACCACATGTTCATTCACAGAGCGTCATTGAGAGTCAAAGCAACAGCGTTGATCCTAATCGACTCGAGGACGTGCACCTGTGGTGATGCGGTTTAGCTTTTTCATTTGGACTCGGCAAAAACACGCTGACTTATCTTCTAGTCCTTTCAATAATTATTCTAATATTCCTAATTTATTCAAAGCAGCTCCAGGATAAAAACATTACTCGGGATTAGGATGTGACTGCAGCTTTGTGCTTCCACAGTTCTGAGAGTTTTATGATCGGGATCAATGTATAGGCTCCATGTAGCCGACGCCACCAAACTGTGTTTAAAAGTCTCATCAGATGTATGATGTGCAACACTCCCAGTAGACGCCAATAACAGCTTTAATCTGCACAAACACAAAAATAGACCCGGTGAGTTTAAAGCACCTGAAAATAAATGGGTTTTGTTGTTTTTCCATTGCAGATGGAATCTTTTCCATAAACGGATCGCTTGTTTTTCTGATAAAAGAACGATGCTGAAAATAGTGGTTATGATAGTGAATATTTGAAATATTCAGAGCTGTTTCGATGGATGGTTTTAGGTAAAATGCAGATAGAAAAGTGTATACCTGTCCCCTCACGGCTCCCTTTTGACCCTCAGCTGGACAGATGTACACTTCCTTCAGATTCTTCAGGCTGGAGTAAAACACAAAAGACAACCGTCCCTCGATGCAATCCGGTCTGTCTGCAGAAAACAAGACACCTTCCAACATGATACTTGTATCTTATTTAAGGAAAAGCTATAAAGAGGACGTCCAACCTGCACTGATGTCTAAGCCCCTCTCAAATCCAGCATAAAACTGTTCTCCCTCCAGAAGGTCACACAGGTCTGAAGGCTGGGGGCCATCATAACATTCTGACAGAGACAGAACTCTGCCTTCAATCTGGACACAAATATCACACTTAATCCATGTGGATGTTTAGAATCTGACAGCAAACAATAAAACTGTCTCAAATCGATGTGGCCGGCCGGCTGAAAAGGGAGGATTTGAAACCTTATTAGCAGGTAAGCACTGCAGCAGAACCTGAGAGGGATCGCTCTTTCTCTGGAGGACGAGGAACTGAACTTTGAACTGTTTCAGCCTCTGGTAGACCTTCCTGACTGCCCCGCTAACACAGCGCTGTGTGGTGTACCATAGCCAGTACCTGCCACGGTGCAGACGATGCCGAGTTAGAAGACCACAGCACGAACTGTGACTGATCATGTGACTGTAGCACTCACCAAGAGAAGTGTGTGATATAGAAGATAGCATACAGATGAGTAACATAGAGAGACACTTGAGAAGTGATGTCGGTCCAGGTCTGGGCTGTGGGGTCTCCGTGGAGCAGGTGTAAATGAGTCAGATCTGCTGTATGACCTGCGGGGGGTCTACAGATGTTAAACCATGCCTAAAGCATCGGGTAAGATAATCACGATGGCTTCCTGTACCTGTAATTCCTGCAGGCAGAGGGATCTGAACTTTGATGGGCTGCAGGAAATGTAAATTGGGAGTTTGGGAGAGACATAGGAGGGGGCTGAGTCTGGCCTGAGGATCACCACACAGAGCCTGCACCTCTGTCTCTGACACCTGCAGCACCTGTAGAGAAAGACACCTGAACTCAGCAGACACTCTTCCAAACAGAGCTGAGTCCTGCAGTCGGATATTACCTGTAAGGTTATAGAGCGAGTCTGCACGGTGGCATCAGGGGGAAAGTGGAGCTTGATTCCAGGGTCGGAGCGGGACACCAGCAGGGCTCCAGCAGACGTGAGGGAGACACTGTCCTGTACCGGTCGCGATACTGCCATAAACCAGGAGAAGTGGCTCACCAAGCAGCATGCCAGCTACACGTACAACAGTTTTATTTATTTTTTGTTATTTTTCTACAACAAGTATCAATCTGTGTCAAGAAAAATGCAAGAGGCATTTAAGGTTTACCCTGGCCGCACGTCCACCTGGATGACTGCTACTGACATCACTTCCTCTCCTTAGATTAGTGGGCAGAGTGCTCCACGATCGTCCATCATAGCTCCGCAGCACCACCTCCCCTCTTTTTGTCCGATGATATGGCACACAGACCTCCACCGGCTGGGAGATGAGAAGATTAAATGAAGAACTGAGATGCTTCTTTTAGAACAAAACGATCTGGATTGTTTCCACAGAGGTGATATTTATTCCGTTTAAGTATAACTCGTCATTTCTAAGAATTTCATACCTTTAAAAATGTGATTCCATGGGGACGCAGTTCCAGCGGACGACTCAGTAGGATGTCGTGTTCCTCCAGCAAAACCCACTTCCTGTCTGGCCTTTTCTCTGCCCACCTCAGCTTAGTGGTTTTCGTCAGGCACCCGGGGGGGAACAGCAGCTCGCCTCCCCCAGGGAGGAACACGTGACACCCAGCAGGCGAAACACAGAAGCTGCAGAGCAAAAGATGCATGAGATATTTCATAATAACAGGTAATGACACACCTGTTGATGACGCCGTACCTGTGCTGGTTCAATCGAAGGTGCGACTCTGGAATTTTTGCTTCTGCCTGATCTGGTAAGAAAACAGAATTAGACCAAAAAAAATTATACACATTAATTCAATTTGAAGCTCGTTTTCTTTTCTGCTTACCAGGTATCGGAGGAAGAGGAGGAGGTGTTGGAGGTTTTCCTAAAGGATTGTCTCGAACATCTAGCTTAAGCAGAGGCAGTTGATTCAGACACTCTGGGACCAGGCGAAGGTCGTTACTGTAGATCACAAGTTCCCTCAGACAACAGAGAGAGCCTGTGCAACAAAAAAAAATCTGGGTTATCTCTTTACTGATTTCATTCATCAGTTTAACACCCTGATTATTTCTCAGGAGAGTCATTTTCTGACACAGTCTCACCCTTAAACTCTTACCCATGCTCTCTGGCAGCTGCTTCAGCTTGTTGTGGGACAATACCAACCTAACAAGCTCCCCCAGAAAACCAATTTCATCAGGTAGTTCCTGGAGGAGATTATGTGACACGTCAAGGGTTTGCAGCGCTTTCAGCTGGCCCAGACTCGAGGGAAGAGACACCAACTCGTTCCCCATGAGAGACAAGTACGTTAGAGACAACAGGTGGCCGAAATCAGGAGGCAGAGCTGAGATGCGGTTGTGACAGAGCAGCAGTGTGGACAGCTCTGGCAGTGCGAGCAGGCAGGATGGGAGAGAGATGAGCTGGTTGAAGGAAAGATCCAGGTGAATGAGGTGGGACAGAGTGGAGAAAGATGAAGGAAAAGTGGTGAGGAGGCCCGGAAGGGGTTCGCCTTGGGGGTCATAAAAGCGGTGACCTTTAATGAGAAGGACAATAACCAGATTAAAGTTTTGACACCAAAAATAAATGCAAAGAAATTTGCGAACGATTTTAATGTGAAGGTGATTCCAATTACCCCGGATGGTCAGTGAGCGCAGCCCCGTCAGATGAGGTAAAACATCCAGAGCACCATCCAGCCCTGAATGATCCTCAGAGCCTAGTCTCAGGTACTGGAGGCCCCTCAGCTGCTCGGGGATGGATCTCCATAGCAATGGCAACACACCCGCCCCTCCCTGGTACACATCCAGGGTAAGTCTTGTTTCAGTCAACAAGGCTGAGAGCTCCACAGACGGAGGTAAGGGTGGTGTCAGAGACACGACAGGTCCACAGGAAGACGAGGATGATGAAGAAAACTTCATATTCTGAAGGCTTGAGGAGCACGAAGAGAGGCTTGATATGGAGGGATTACAGCAGGTGTCCATGACACTGGGAAATGCAGAGTGAGCATCTTCCTCAGGTAGCACAGCTGCTGCCTGGTCTTTAGACACAGCATCATGTAAAACATTCAGCCTGGTTTCTCTTGATTTGTGCTCATTCTGGTTCTCAAGTGTTTCCCCACAAGCCACCACATGTATAGATCTATTATGGGCTGTAGATGTAACTCCTGCTTCCCCATCCTCTAACCTGCTTGCTGTCTGGTCTCCAGCTTCTTCAAGAACCGAGTCTTCATCACCGTTTCTCTCCATTCAGACGGTGCGTCAGGGTGGAGAGCGACGTACTAACATCTGCCTCCAAGTTTCCTTCTACGTGACATGACTTATTATAGTTTACACTTACACACACATGCGGAATATGGTAGCCATCCATTTTAACAGGGCATACTTGATGCATGAGTAAAATGAACCGTAGCAAAAATAGATGTTAGCAAGCTAAAAGTCATCAGAATCATTGAAAAGGTAAACCAAAGATCAGATTTAATCACCACCCCCTCGTACTGTCTACACCTATCTAGGTGGTAAGCAATGAATAACAAGAAAAACGATCAACCCGTTACGGGGATGAATATTCTCCACTTCCTGTTACCAAACAATTTTAAAAACAAAGGTTCTGCGTCATGGTTTCTTGCTCGCTTTTGTTTAGAGCGTGTGCCGGTTGACTGCAGGTTCACTGGTATCAACCTTTAGGAGGAAAGGCCGCCCGTCTTGTTTGTCCTTATTACAATAACAAGCGCACTCATGGAAGCGCCGCCAAAGTTGAAACCAGAGCGGGATGAGATTGTCGTTGTTATTCCATAATCAGCCGGTAAGTGGCGCTTTTTAGTCCAATTCGTTCCTGTTTGAGTTCAGTTATAATGAAATTTTTGACGAAAAAATGATTTTATTTATTTTATCAAAGATTAATTTAGATCTAAATATTTTATACACATTTAGTTCTGTGCAAAACAACTAACGCTTTCTTAATATTTATATTCTAATTGTAATGTTCTTGATTAAAAGAAAACTATTTGCTGGTGGATCACATCAGTCTCAACAATGTTTTTTCAGAAAATATTCAGAAAAGCTTGCTGTGTTTTATGTTTATGTTTAGAACCCATAAGTTGGGCTAGTTGGCTTAAAAAATATATATATATATAATTTTTATTATTTTTTTAACATGAACTCTGGTTGCCACTGATTTCACAACATGCTTTGAGGAGGTTGCTGACCATTTATGAATTCACAGCGGGGGTTATTCATTGTCAAATTCTGTGAAATGTTTGTTCAAGTAAGGTTTGTTATTTTCTGCAAAATATCCTAGATTAATACCTCTACAGTTTTAATAGCAGATTAAACACGACCATTATTTCATATTTATGTTTTACAAATATTTGTTTTACATTTATATATTCATATGCATTATTATCATTATTGTTGTTACAAATTTAACATGAAATTTTATTTAGCAAACATGAATGTACAATTGTCTTGTCATTTCATTATATTCTTAAATTTTAAACACAAATTTAAAAAATTAAGATTATGTCATAATCCAGTCAATATCTATTACTAGAAGTCAATACATATTTAAATGACTCGCATTGAAATAAAATACAAATAAATCTACTTTGATCTCCAGAGACATTACAAAATATGAACATAAGCATGAAGAGAAATTTTGAAAGACCAAAACAAAACTCAGAGTTCCGCTTGGGGAAAAAACTTTGACAGCTGTCAGAAAGAATTGACCGCAAACTGACTCCATCGCTGTTTCAGCGACGTGTATTCTGATTGGTTGCTTTGCCACCCTTTCCGTATTTGATTGGTCAATACTATTTACCTCCTTAAATGTGATTGGACAAGCCGTGTTTTCCTATCCCTCCTTCAGCTATACGTCACTGACGCGTGTGAAATAACAACAAGACCCCATGGTTTACTACGTATTTATTAGCTTTCCTGACTTTAGTCACAATCTATGAACGGGAGATTGCACTTGGCGTCGAGTAATAAACTTAAAATAACCCACAAGTATTTATATTACGTACAACGAGAAAGTATTTTTTTCCTTTTTTTAATTTGTACAGGAACTAGCTTTTAAAAACTGCGTTCAAACAGGAACCGCTAACAACATGAACATATTTTGTAGCTAAAGTCAGCTTGTAAATTAGTTTGTGACCAATATCTGCTAAATTTAAACTGGGCTGTAGTGTTTTTCCTGGTTGGCCGCCAGCATGTTCCCGTTAGACTCGCCGTGGAACATCTCCTTCGCTGGCTGCGGCTTCCTCGGTATCTACCACGTCGGTGTGGCTAGCTGTCTGGTGGAGCAGGCCCCGTTTCTGGTCCGAAACGCCAAACACATCTACGGAGCCTCGGCTGGAGCTCTCACAGCCACAGCTCTGGTCACTGAGGTGTGTCTGGGTAAGTTCATTCAGATTTTGGACTGGGATCTGAATTTTAAAACTAACCTATAGAATAAAAATGTATTTATTGGACAGTAAGTTGTAAACATGTATTTTCCAATCATAGTTTCTCAGCCATTTATACAACAATGTGAACTTCCAGTTGGATCTTTGTTTCATTGGACATGCAGCTCAAAACAAAAAATTGTTTTTCAGATTCAGATTGATTTTTTAATCTCTAAGAGGAAAGTGTTTGCTTAAAGAGATACTAAATGTATATTTAAGCTGTCACTTGACAGGAAGCAGGAATGATTTTTTGTGGTCTTTGTCCAACTTATTTAAAGTCTTTGAGATCAAACCTTTTTATCTTAGCATAATTCACAATTGTTATAAGAATAAACATATGTGCTGTTGTGCTACACAATCACTCAAAAATCTGAAATGACTTGCCCCATGCATCCAACTAAAGCTGCAGGAAGAATTTAATTCTTTTATAAATCATCATATATTTAATTAGTCATTCCTCAAACTGTGGCCTAGAAATCAGCCCAACCTTATATAAATGATGACTTGCTAGGCAACCAAAATCTGTTTCTTGCCCACAGTATTATGAACTCACATGGGTTAACAATCTGACTTTTTTATGCTAAGGACAAGTTGGTGCAAGCATCATCGATGTTGCCAAGGAAGCAAGGAAGAGATTCCTTGGACCCATGCACCCATCCTTTAACCTAGTGAAGATCGTGCGTCACGTGCTGCGGCGCACCCTACCAGACGATAGTCATCATCGGGCAAGTGGCCGACTGGGGATCTCTCTTACCCGGGTGACAGATGGAGAAAATGTCCTAGTGTCTCACTTTAACAACAAGGAAGAGATTGTGCAGGTAAATATACAATAATGACATTGAGAAGAAGTTGTTGAACTGTTCTAAGGTGTGAGGATCGAAGTTGCAGGAAATCCTCTCATGACTGTTCTGATTGAAACTGCAACGCTTAACCAACCCTTTCCTGGGTAGTAAGGGATTAGAAAGCTTAAAGAATGATGTTGGAATTAAAACCGTCTTTTTTGGGGTAGTATCAATTAGGGATGTCCCGTTCCGATATCGACATAGAAAGTAATGCGATATCGGTCCAAAAACATTGTATTGGATTATATCGGACTGGATCAAAAATCTCTGATATAAGCAGTACATTAAGGCTCACATTTTTCCAACCAATGGTTGAAAAAATTGTGTTTTCTTTTATACTTACCTGGCTCTTGTTCTCCGATTGAGTAATATCACTTGATCAAGCCTTTCATGCGTTCCACACTACAATATAGGTAAACATATGCACGATTTGTGCTGATATCATATCGGATTGATATCGGTATCAGTCAACACTGAAGGCTGCAATATCGGTATCGTACTGAAAAAGTTGTATCGGGACATCCCTGGTATTAATTGTAATAGAGCTGTTGTAAGTATAAAACGATATTACTATGATTCTTCATCTAATTAGTAACTTTATGATCACAGTATAATACAGCGACCGCAGCGTTTACAGTAAAAACTCTTTCTTTTATCGTTTAGGCCTGTGTCTGTAGCGCCTACATCCCTGTGTATTGTGGTCTCATTCCTCCCACGCTTCAAGGAGAGGTGAGTCACTTCACTTTCTCTCATCCTCCTTTTCTTCTCCCGTCACTCTTCTGTTTTCGGACTGATTAGACTCAGTTTAACTCAGTGATTTGTCTGGATTATAAATGATGGTCTTCACTGACATGAGCTGCTGTTACTCCCTCTCCCTCTCTGCTGTTTAGCGTCTGCCACAGCGTCGTGTTTCCGCTCTCTATGTTTTGTTTTTGGCACATTTCTGCGGTAAGCGTGCCCACCGAAGTCCCCGCTTCCTCAAGAATGTATTTGTTCTGAATAGCACAAGTGTGTAAACAGTGATTATAGAATTCCTCCGGGGTTGGTGTTTGTCACAGATCTCGCTGTAACGGGGGAAAGTGGAACTTGTATATTTTTTTTGCCACTTGCTTCTTGGCTGGACATTTTTATAGTGCAAAGGTTTCTGAGAAATAGCATGGAGCAACACCAGCAGTACCCCCTACACACACACACACCTACTGTGACCTTTGTGATGAGTTTTGTGAGCGTACGTTTGCTGGAGTGTATGTGGGGCTTGTGTCCAAGTGTGACCACGGTTTTAGGTTTGCTTTGCTCTGAAGCTGATGTCATTTTTCTGTTTACACTCGCTGCAGTCACATTCCAAGCCTAAAAAGTTGCAACACTTAATAAAAACAAACCCTTATCGGTGCACAGGTTATGATCCTTCCTTTATCGCATCCTGTCGCCATGTGGACGATCTTCCTTGAGTTCCCCTCCTGAAAACTTTGTGCCGTTATTGATCCGATTGTGTTTGCTCTGCTGACTTTTGCCACTCAGCGATATGTTGATGGAGGGATCTCGGACAACTTGCCGCAGTACGAGCTGAAGAACACCATTACGGTGTCGCCGTTCTCCGGAGAGAGCGACATCTGCCCCAGAGACAGCTCTACTAACATTCACGAGCTGCGCTTCACCAACACGAGCATCCAGTTCACCCTGACCAACCTCTACCGGGTCTCCAGGGCTCTCTTCCCCCCAGATCCAATGGTAGGCCACATCTAGAGGACGGATATGCAGAAAAAGGCACGATCAGCTCCTGTGACCTGTAGTGACCTCGTCTTTTACTCATGATTATGTGTTTGCTTTGATCTGCAGGTGATGAAGGCCATGTGTAAACAGGGATACAAAGATGCTCTACACTTTTTAAAAAGAAATGGTAAGAGTCCAGAACTTTCTCCAAAGCTATCTGTGACTAAACTAAGCCAGATTGATTTATTCATTTTTGTCTTATGACTGGAATATTCCATTATGTATACACGGTATCACACTGATACCCTATCAGCGCTTGTGCTTCCTGTGACCGAGTCATCAGATCGATCAGCAGCTTTTCCTCATGATACCGGCTCACAAATCGATCTGCTGTAGGTGTACGGTAGCTCAGGAGGTAGAGCGGGTTGCCTCATGATCGGAGGGTCATGGGTTCGATTCCAGCTCCCTCCAGGAGTATTCTGCTGTTGTGTCCTTGGGCAAGACACTTCACCCAACTTGCCTGTGTTGCTAGTGGTCAGAGGGGCCGGCGGCGCCAAATGGCAGCCTCGCCTCTGTCAGCCCGCCCCAGGGCGGCTGTGGCTACAAAGTAGCTTACCATCACTAGCAGTGTGTGAATGTGAGAGTGCATGAAAGCATCTTTGAGTGTCCTAAAAAGTGCTACATAAGTTAGATGTGTTATTATTATTATTATTATTATTATTATTATTATTACAATAAACAATTAAATAAATGCTGTTTAAAATGTATTTTAAATTTAGGGTTGCTTCATTTCAACGGGCCTCAAACCGACAGACCCCTTCTGACCAACAGAGAGGATGAAGAGGTGGCTGAGGAAGAGCAGGACGGTAAAAGAAGAGAGGTCAAAGATCAGCTGCTGGTGGAGGGGAAAGCGTTGATGTTCTACGGCAGCTCCTCATTAGACGAGCATATTATCGAGTACCTTCCACCCACCCTGCACAAAGGTAGCAAGATTACAAAGCTTGTGTGGTCACATCTCCTTGAATTACATTTACTTTCTAGTCACAATGAAGAAGTCTTGAGCCTCCAGATCTTTGTTTTGCTTCAAACAAAATAGATTTTGTTTCTTGTTTCTCGTTTAAGAAAAATTTTCTTTGGAATAAAAAAAAATGAATCAACAGCAGATAGGGCTTGCCTTTTATTTTCATTTATTTCTGTGTAAAAACAAAGTGTACATAAAACAAAGCAGCATTTGGATTTTGATTCCTATTTTTTAGATCATGTCATTGTTTCAGTCCTTTTTCTCTGTTTGGGATTTCTCAGCTGGTTTCTCAGAAATCCTTCAGCTAATGGGAGAATTCAAGGATCTGATCGTTCTATTTATTAGTGACTCTAAATGTAAAGCTGATTGCATAAAGCTTGTCAGAACTACAGATTAGATGAGACTGACTCACATTTCTGTAAAACCTTTGAGTAAACCAGCGGTAAATGCTTTGGCTGCAGGATGAATGGATTTAACTCAGAACTTGCTCTGATGCTTTGCAGAACAGACATAAATATATAGTATTACTAAATATACTGAAATGATGTTGTTACTCCTGTTGGTTTGAGACATCTTTTGATCAGCATCTGATGCAGAGCATCTTTAGGAAATGTATATTTTGATGTTAAAAGACCATTTTACATCCTTTTAACTGTTGATGACAGATGTCTCCATGAAGCTTATTAACAACTTGGTACAAAAGGTGGCTGATCCTGTGTCTTTGCCTCCCTCTGCAGCTCTTGTTGAGGCCTGCATGGAGAGGAGGAGCCTAGTGCAGTCGCTAGGCAACCTGCTTCCCGTCAGGATGGCCTCCGTCATGATGCTGCCCTACACCCTCCCTCTGGAGTCTGCCATGTCCTTGACTCTCAGGTGTGTGTGTGAGACTTTCACCCCAAACTGATTTTTACAGATTTTATTAAACTAAACAGTTTTAAATTGTGCTTCTAAAGCAAACTTTGTCAGAACTGGTCATTCTCTCATCACGCTTCATTGCATTTATTTGGGTACTCTGCTAATGCTGCTGACGGACAACGACTTGCTCCTTGTGCAGACTTCTGGAGTGGCTTCCTGACGTGCAGGAAGACGTGGGCTGGATTCGAGAGCAGATACTGAAAATCCTTCAGTGTGTTCTTCGTCAGGCCTTCAGAAGCTTCTCCCAGAATGTTTCTGCCAGGTAGTTGATTATACAGTCACGCCTACCATTACAGTCCTTGCTTAATTCCACCTGATCTGTATAGTTATGACACGTCTGCATGCCTCTGACTGACAGCATGTCTGATCACGGCTGGATTTCAGCTTTGTTTAATAACTTTCAGCCAGTAGAGGGCAGCAGAAACTCACTAACAATGCAGCATCAGTTTCCTGTAAAATTTGCTTAAATAATGTCTAGTATGACAACAAGTGTCCCTTCTAACATCTTTTTAGATTCATTTGTTTTTGAAAAGGTCATTTTCAGATAAACCTTCAGCAATCATTTTCTAAAAGTGCACTTACACAGGTATACTGTTCATGCTTCGAGATAGAAAATGAAGCTTGAAGAGTGGAGTGGAGTAGATCATAAAATAAAAAGTTCTCCATTAATTTATTTGCACCTCTTCACGTTTTTATTAAATTCCAATTCAGGTCCGAGTTCCATGGCTTAGTCATCTGTTTAGGTCAGATCTTGAAAGTAATTTTTCCCTAACTTTGTGAATTTTCATGCAGTCTGTTTGTACTCGGGTTGTGAATGACTCTGCTGCTGCCACGTGAAACTTTAGCTCAGTTTTAGCTGTTAAAGGTATTTTTCTAAAGTCTATTAACTTTGGCAGTCATCTTGACTTATATGGAATCCAAAGATACTCTGAGAGTTTTGTTCAAATCTTTTCTGTGGTTTATGTCACACATGCACACACACACACACACACACACACACGCATGCTCCCACACACATGCATGCATGCACCGCCACATCTGCACACGCAGATGCACATGCATGCACACGCACATGTCTAAACACACACACACACATGCACCCACACATGTACATGCTCTTGTGCACACATACACATGCATACACACACAAATGCATTCATACACATAAGCATGCGTGCACACACATACACACACTCACATATGCATGCGCACACACCCAAAAACACATAATTGCTTGTTGCAGGAAGGTGAGCAATAATAGCAGTAAGCTATTTCATTCTAGATTTTTTAAATAAATTGGTGAAAACTTCTGACAGATTGTTCTGCCAGCTGGAGCTGCGTCACTACAGGTCCCTCCCATCCAAGCCCAGCTCCACCAGCCTGTTTCCTACCTGGATGAACTCCTCTGGCTCTTCAGTCCAGGATGTCTTTGTGCGTCTCGACCAGTACAAGAAACAGCTGCTGTCCGGAGTCCTCTGCATCAACATGGACCTGCGAGGCTCCTTCAAAACGGGAATGACGTCTCCAGACAGCAGCCGTTCGTTCAGCTTCTTCCAGCAAGACTTCAACTCACGCAGCAACTGCCTAAATGTCCCACACGATGGCAAACCTGGGAAGCCTTTGAGTAGGTCTAAGAGTTTCTGGTAGGCTTTCTGAGCATTTGACATCCAGAGACACATCAGCAAAGTGAATAAACTCTGTGTGGTTTCATGTTCTCAGTTCACTGGGTGTTAAATAGTTTCGGGCCAGAGCCTGAATCTGACAGCCAGTCGGGTTGTTTTACACTTAAAATTCCACACTAGTGCTCAGTTGTGCACAAACTTGAATTACAGGATGTTACAAAGGAATAAGGAGGGCTGAAGTAGAACGATAAAAAATGTTTTAAATGGAACACGGTCAATCCCAGAGTGAAGCAGCCTTTTCCTGCTTTAAGCTGCTTCTGGCTCACAGGAAACAGAAAGAAACAGGAGCTGGTTGGTTACAAGTTAGTCTGTTTATTGCACACAAATGTCAGTGCACTGTGGAAGTCTTCCTTCTGTTTGCAAGTTATTGCGAATGTCTAAACAAAATCAGTCTTCTCAACCTTATTTTCAAGTCATTTATGACTCATTTAAAAATTATTTGTAGCTACTTGAATTATTGTTCTAAATTGCTGCTTTGAAATGAATTTTGTTTCTATTTTATTTTACATTGCATGTTTAATCAATGTAATTTTAATTAATCCTATAATCTATTTTATCTGATGTTGTTTTTGTCTGAATTTGCACTTTCTCTAACGAATCCTGGCACTTTAAATACTGATCTTGTACTAAGTGCTGCTTTTTAACTGTGCTATCATGCCTCACGTGCCAAAAAATTCTAATATAATGACTGCCTAGAGGACGTAACATGTTGAAAATGTTACCATATTTACAGCATGTGATCATGAAATAAACTGGTTTTGTTCAGGAGTAACTGCTGCCTGTGTTTTCATTATGTGATTACTTAATTAAAAAACAATTTACTTATGTTTAACCAGAAACAGATGGGGAACTGTTCGTATGTGTTCACGTACAATCAGGAAAATTGTCCACAGTGGAAGACGTTCTTAGAGATAAGCTGGAATAACAATTATGTGCAGCAAATTTTCTTCTGTTAGTTTCCTTTCATAAATTCGGGGCTGAAATTAAAAAAAAAAACTCTGCAAAGACTATTAAACAACTTTGGCAATTGTATGGATACACGGTAACGGATTTTAAAATAGCGTGTGCTCTGACCATCATGAGAATATTTGTGGTATTTTTGGATTTAAAGCACATCATCCACAAATCACAGCACATCCATCTTTTTTTTTTACAAGAAACATAAACAATCAAACAATCTGTTCCTCTCAAATGTGCATTTTTCTCTCTCTTTTTCCTTTAACAACAAAACGCCTTTCTTCAAATAAAAAAGAAACATTGATCTTTTCTATTATAACCTGGACATTTTATATAAAATGCCTTTTTTATGTACTATTTTCCCCTTTCCCACAAACTTGCAGCATCAATGAATTTTTGCACTTGTATTGGTTCTTAGAACCTTTTCGCTCAATTCTAAAGTGTATATTGTAAATGTCTTTACAATAAAACAAAACATTTTAGATTGAATGAATCACCTTCAGTGCAATGAAAATGTATTTTATCACTTATGTTTGTTTTGGCTTTGGATCTTGCACCCCTGGCTCGAATTTAACAGTAACCTGGTGAGGCCTACAGGGCTTTAGATGTTTTGGGCTCTTTCGTCCCTCTGTCTTTAGGACATGTTGCTTTTTGATATATTTTAGCCTACTTTATGTTTACAGAAAGGTTCTGTGAAAGTGATTTATTAATTCTACAGCTCTAGCAGTAATGAGGCCTGTGTGGCTAGTGAAACTAAACTTAGCTTTCCCGATTACGTGGTTAATTCTTGATTAATATGAGGGCAATTCACGATTTAAATAAAGGTTAAATGAAATTACTTTCTGCATATTGGTTTAGATAGCGTTAAATCACTTTGAAACTAAATTTTATATTTACTCAGGTTATTTTTTTCTGAAATTCATTTTTTGCTGATTGGAAACGTGTGACTAAAAAGTAGAAGAAATCTGTATGGGGCAGATGTTTTCAGTGATCTGTAAGCATTGAAACAAAAAATCTGTAAATACAGTTGTGTCAGGTCACAATTCAAGTAATTGTTAAAATGGGATGCCTCAATCATAAACTTATATTCGGGATTTAAAAGTGGAGATTTTGATTGAAGTTTTGTTTTTAAGGGAAAACGACACAAAAGCAAGAATTTCTAATGATAACAGCAAAAATTAATCCGAGCAGTCCGTGAAGGCAGCACCGGGCTTCCTCGAGTTTGCAGTAAAGTTTGTGGTTTCACTTCCAGCGTTTGTCCTCCAGAGGGCGCAGGCCAGGGGAGGCTCCACAGAGCGACCGCACTCACTCCGCTGCTTGCCTCGTACCATGAGCTGAATCTGTCCGGGTACAGACCAGGGAACATGGCGGCCACTGACCATTCCCGGTCCGAAGCTGCCAAACAGCGACGGCAGGATCAGCTCCAGCGGTGGCTAGGCTCAGAAACGGACCGGACGGTGTCTGAGGCCCGGGAAACTTCGGCTGGCTCCGGTGGGACGCGGCGGGCAAAAGTACGGTTCGCCCAAGGGGCTGTGTTTATGGCCGCTTGCTCCGCCGGAGACCGGGAGGAGGTGACGGCGCTTCTCCGGCAGGGAGCTGACATCAACCATGCCAACGTAGACGGGCTGACAGCGCTTCACCAGGTCGGTGGTTTTAACTTTCTTTTTGTTCGCAGCTGAGTTTATTTGTTTTCCTCTGCATCGTAACCGCGAGCTTCTGATCCGCTAATGACTCCGAGCGAAGAGGCGCATTAACGTCATCTAACTTTCCCAGGAAACCCTCTTGCTTCCTAAGGAGCAGGATAAACATCAGAGCAGCGTTTAAGGCAGCAGATTAATAAAGGGAGATTCTGGCCTGTAGCTGGTTTTCTCCAGCCTGCTGATGGCTCACTCCTCTCCACTCACTTTCTTTTGTTAGTAAGGTTCAATCCTCTTTTTTTTTAATGCAGTAAAGTCAGATCACATCAGACCTGAGGATCGTCTTGGTGGAGCCTCAAAAACTGTAGATCTTAGTAGTTTGCAGATTTATTTTTAAATACAACTCCAGAGAGCTATCGAATGCAACAGGAAGCTCTGAGTTAATGTTAATATTTGGTTTTGGCGTTAGAGAGTCCTCCTGGAGCATGGTCCTGCTTTACTGCAGCGCTGCTCCCTCCCTCCCGCCCTCTCAGCTGAAGTCATAACACTGAGTCTGGACAACATCACTGCCACACAAGCCCTCAGTGATGCAGCATTTCCTCTACATCCATGACACCAGGTGTCAAACACACTTCTGTCACTTTACACAAAGTGGAGGCACGAGCAGATGGATTCAGATGTGACATTTAGGAGTAAGTAAACAGGTTGTGCTTCTCTGGATCAGTAGTGTGCTGCAAGCGCCTCTGGTTCAGGTTTTGGTTGCTCCACAATGCTGGACCTTCACCCAGTGTGGTCTCCATCCTGCCCTCCATCCCTAACTCCTCTGTTACTCATCTTGTTTCATGGCAACCTGTTTTAAATATAGGCCCACACTCTCCAAACTTTCCATCCTCTCCATCTAAAGACTTTTTTTCCTTCCAACACCCTCCTCCTTCCTCCTTCTCTTCCTTGTTCTCCTGCTTTGCTCTCTCTTTGCCTTTCTCCTAACCCTTTTGCCAGCTCCTCGTGGACGGGACTTTGGGGATTCCAGATGAAGAAATGGAAAACATTCCTCAGACAGCACAAGCTGCTGTTGTCAAAGGCGATTTCCACAATGAGTCACTTGACGACCGAGCGCTGGAGTCTGCTCGGAGGTTCTCTGTGCACCGCCATACCCTAGCGCTGATAAGGGGGGGACAAGAAGAAGTGCCCCTCTGTTCATTCATTCACCCAAACGGCTCCCCCCTTTGTTGTGGGTCAGCTTGCTGCAAACGTCCTTTTTACGTTTTACAGAAATCAGACTGATGATGTCCCCTCTCTGCTTACCCCTCGTTGTGAGGAGCGAAGGAGGCTTGCAGCAGCTTTGTGATTAGTTGATTTAGCCCAAAAGTAAAGCCTCTTAGGTGGGCTTAAGTCACTCCTGATGGATGGGGATGGGGTTCTGAGCAAAGAGCAGATACTTGGTGCTGCACCTTCATCACATCACCTTCTAGTCCTTTAAATTAAATCTTAAATGCAATTATAATCTTTTAGGTGCTCTAGTTTATGTTTTTGCAACAGTGCTGTCAGTGAGTTGCTGTCAAATATCCCCTGAGAATGACTTCCCCTTCTCCATGTGGCCCATCGTGAAGCCGATGTCAGTGGAAATGTTTTGACTCCTGTTTGATGGATCATCTTGAAACTTGATGCAAATATCCGTGTCCAGCTCAAGATGGATTGTAACGCCTTCGGTGATCCCCTAACTTTCCATTTAGGGGCTGTGCAAAGGTCAAAAACCTGTTTGTCCAACAGGAGCAGCAGCGTCTCGGCTGTGATTGTGATTTAGTTCATGTAGGCATGTTTTTAAAAGCTACATTTCTCTTTTTTTCACTTTAGCCGACCCCTACAGAGAATAGATGGTTTTTTTTTAACTAGTAAGGGAACTTCCTGTGTGGTCAGCTCAACAGTGATCAGTCAACAAGCTAAAAGGAAAAAAAGGCCCAACTCCTGTTTTGGTAATGGACTGAATATGCTGTCGTAAATGCTATCTGACTTTTTCGGGGTTTACCGTAAACATCAGAATTGAAGCATTTATCATTTGATTATAAAAGATTTTAGTGCTCATCTCTTTTGTACTTAGATGGGAACAGAAAGAGATTTCTTCTTAGACTCAAATTCTTTATGATTGTGTTTTCTGGCTCCTCCCAGCAGCACATAAAATAGTTCATCAGATATCACAAGAACTGAAACAGCTGACCGACAATAAAACATCTTCTAACCCAAGCAGTTACCTTATATTGTCTCTTCCCACGCATGCTTCCCTTTTTCCCTGTTGCTTCACCAAATATGAGTTTAAGGATACAGTTGGGTGCAGAAGAAACGACACAAATCATACATATATTAGGGTTCATTCTTCATAAAGGATTTTGATTTCAACATGTCAAGAAATTATTAAAGTGAACTCAGGATAACCACATCTCGACTAACACACACTCTCCTGATCTTCCTGGATAATCCCACAATGTGCCAGAGAGGGTCTGTAATCCCTCCAGCTATTCTGGGTCTTCCCCAGGGTCTCCTCCCAGTGGATTGTGCCCAGAAAACCTCTAAATCCTACAGTGAGATGCTTGGCCCTCCTTATCTGACTAATTTCAGCAAGGAGAAGCAGCAATTCCCCCCCGCCACCTACTAGATAACAACAGCTTCTCACTTTTTCGCTAACCCTGGCTTTCCACTGGATAAGTGTAATGTCCACGAAGCGTGGTACGCAGTGAGTAGCCATCATTGTGGTCAATGGGTGCATTTTCACTGGTCACAGTGCAATGCTTTTTGGACACTTCCCAGAAGTGTGTGTCGCTTCGCTCCTCTAAATTCACACACTGGGTCTGTTACCTCAATGAAACCTCCATGGTCAGTCCAATCACAAACTTTCTTACACTTATAATAGCAAGACACCAATGTTCTTGGGGGAATGCAAAGTTGATGAGTTATCTCCACAAATAACACAAGCCTGAACGAATCCCGCTTTGTTGTGGAGTTGCTAATAGTTAGTTAGCTTCTGGTAGCCGAGACATGCTCTGCTCTCTCTTGGCTGCAAAATCAACAAAGCCTTCCACAGTGACAAGCCAAGGTTGGCGAGTACAAGAATGCTAACTCCTCTGTAACATAGAAATGACTGGGAGCCGGTCGTTTTCTTATTTCCTTTTCAGCGGCTAATGGCGGTAGTAGGAGGAGAACATTTTCACGTTCAGCTTGCGCAACTCGGAGGTATGGCTCGCATTTCTGAAAGAACAAGTATTAGATGGTTCGTCAGGAAGCAAGACCTTTCATGGAAAAACAGAACAAGAAATCAGCAGCTGGAACTCCTAGAAGTCTGTAAGCAGGCCGACTCTGTCAGTGTTGTCAGGCTCTAGCAGGATCTGTTTCCTACAGTCGCCACATTTTTGTAAGGAAACGTGGATTTATTTGTGAAGCAATATCTTCAGTTACAACTGGATGTTTGTCATTCAGCTTTGCAAAAAAAAAAACATTCCAAGTAAAGAGTGATTGGAAATATCTTTAATTAATGCCAATATAAGTTGCATCTTATTAAGTTTTAGGTCACGGTACACAAGCGACATTTACTAAAGAAACAATGACCCATATGGCAACAAACGTGGGAAATTTAGGTCAAACTTTAGGTCAAGCGGAACAAAAATGGGCAAATCCTCCACGTAGATGAGGATTAATAACGGGACGTTGTTTAAATTTTTTCATAACAAAAGACTCGAATCTTGCTTTGTTTGTCACCAATATTAACCCATTCAGTCATTCTTTAATAAACAAATGAACGTGGAGTTACTGTCTGTGCTGTTTTAGGTTCGCGGTGAGGCACGCAGAGCAATGTTGGTTTCTTTAGTGCTTCTGCAGTAATCTGATCTGCATCATGAATCTCGTCTGACCTGGCTGTCGTGTTTTCACATATCTATATTGACATTTTCAACCTCATTTAGGTTGTTTTTAAAAGCGTAGACTAGAAATGAGACAAATGAACCGCGGTGAAATGAGTTTTAATCTAGTCTTTGTTTATTTTTTTGTTCTAATTACCCATTAACCTGTTTGGAGTGCAGCTCTAGACACATTTGCGTAAAAGTAACTGGTAGATTTGATTTCCCCAACTTCTTTTGCCAACATCCAGTAAGATAAGCCCATGTGATCTTCATGCGTTTTATCTCGGGGCTTTTGTCGGATCACGCTGAGATTGTAGCTCGACTTTGCCTCCAGAGAAGTCGCTCCACTCACACCACCAAATGACTGTTTTGGAAAGTACTTGAGGGCTTTTTAGCGGCCCACTTAAATAGAAAATCATTCCACCAAGTAGACACAGTAGTCATTGTCTTTTAGCCCTGGTGCTTTAGTCAAGTCTTAATAGATTTTGGAAACGTCTGGGCTTCTGCCTTTGACCATAAACCAAAGTGAAGTGAGTCAGAGATCCTCGCTGCTGCACTCAAACTGACATTTGTTTGTTAACACGTTCAGCTTTGATTCTTATCATGAACAACGCTGCAACCCATCATGCATCTGTGTGTCTTCTCTCAGGCCTGCATCGATGAAAACGCTGAGATGGTTCAGTTCCTGGTGGAAAACGGGAGCGATGTGAACCGAGGGGACAATGAGGGCTGGACTCCTCTGCACGCTGCTGCTTCCTGCGGCTTCGTTCAGATCGCCAAGTGTGTGCTACATAGCTCTGTGGTTCTCTGTGTGTGTGTGTGTGTGTGTGTGTGTGTGTGTGTGTGTGTGTGTGTGTGTGTGTGTGTGTGTGTGTGTTTGTGTGTGTGTGTGTGTGTGTTGACAATTTGATTAAATTACGACTCAAAAGAGTTTTAATGTGTTTCTAAAACAATTATTGATGCATGGTGATTTTTCATTCTGCCCCTACTTGATACTTTAGAAACCAAGTATTTTAATGACTGAAGTTGGTACACTTTCAATAACTTTTTAAATAAAAATACCCACTTTGCTGTGTTGAAGTCACAGCTTTCATTCAGACATGCTTGTGGACTGTATCTTATTTTAAAACCTTCAAATCTGTAATTCAGCGATAAAAAAATAAACCGTCTAACCCGGGCTTTCCACAGGATTTGTAACACGATAGACATGTTTTCACCAAAACCTCAGAGGGGCTTTCAAAAGTGCAGGCAATGCGTTACACTCGCATAGCGGGCTCACAAAATCTTCGAATTGCAAGATCACACATGGTTTTACCAATAAACGTCGTAACAGGCAAGGAGAAAGATGGCCGCTTGTATTTAAAAGGTCTGTGGTTGGTTTTCTGTACTTTTTACCTCGACCGTGGCGGTTTCACTGGTAATGAAATGTTTTTTTATGTTACAGCTAAGTTATAGTAAAATCTGCAAGTGTATTTTATTTAGAAACTTGCCAGATGTTTTACACCTGCTCCCATTAGGGATGGACAATATATCGGTATGACCGATGTAAGTCATTTTTCAACATATCTGTGTCGGTCCGATAAATGAAACTGGGCCGATATTAACAACCGATATTTTTTCCATCTTGTCTCCATTTGTTTGCCTGTTTCAGACGGTGAGGGGGTTGATGTGTAATTGTTTAGTCATGTGACAGTGAATGTTATCATCTCAGAACCGTAAATGTGTGTGTGTGTGTGTGTGTACATAATAAGTAAATTCAGCTTTATTAATATTCATTCTATACAAAATCTGCTGATTTTAGAAACATTAATGTCAGTATATCGGTTATTATCGGCCATAACACTGACCTCAATATCGGTTGTCGGTATCGGCCCAAAATTTCAAATCGGTGCATCACTAGCTCCCATGTTTGATTTCCTGTCTGGCCCTATCTGAACTGTCGAGTTTGACGTGTTCTGTAAACGTAGTGCCTAAAAAATAGAACTAAACATAAATTTAGCGAAGCAACGGCACACGTGCTTCTGGGACGCTTCCCAGCCCAGTGGAGATGCGGTTAGCCGCGTATGAAACGATGTACGCGTTACTCGACAGATTTGTGTGGCACTCACTCACGTTTCTAGAATGACTAATTGTGTCTCTCCAGTAGGCTGTTGATGTAGATAGACACTTTTATTTATTTATTTTCGTTTGTTGACAATAAAAATACAGAACTAAATTGCTACAAGCTAAAATGAAAACTGAACTTTCTAACATTTTTGTGTTTTTACTAATAACTGTTTTGGATGCAGTTTTGAGGAATAAAAAAAATCACAATAAAATAATTTTTGCATTAACTTGACGATTTTTGGCCCTCATCTTTATACGTTTTGACACCCCTGGTCCAATTGGCAGAAATTTATTTTTCTTCTTAAAAGACGGGCGTTAATTATATGTTTTCATTTCATTCAGTAGACCTACAGATTTTCTTTGAATTTTTAAAACCCTACAGGATTAAAAACTATTTGAATCATTCATGATCTCTGTTAAGTAAAAAAAACAGTTCATGTTTAGGGTTCCTCATGTTGCATCCCTATTCATTTTAATCATCAGTGGTAAAATTCAGAAGCATTTTTGTCTGTATGGTGATGCGTCCAAATAAAATAATGAGGTCACAGAGTAACAATGTGTAAAATGAAATTAATACAAGTGTTTTTTATTTATTTTAAAGATACCTGATAGAGCACAGCGCTCGTGTTGGAGCGGTTAACAGCGAAGGAGAACTTCCTCTGGATGTTGCTACAGAAGATGCCAT